TGATCTTACTCTGCTTTCATTGTGTATAGGAAGGAGAAGGATCCACTGAAGCCGAAGCATCCAGTGTCAGCTTTTTTCTTGTTTTCAAATGATCGCCGTGCTGCTCTTCTGGCTGAAAACAAGATTGCTAAGGAGGTAAAAACTATGAAGCTCAGCACAATTTTGTACCCAAATTCCTTTTTTTTCTGTTTAATCTTATGAAGAGTATTATTTGTGTATATAGGTGGCAAAGATTGCAGGTGAAGAATGGAGGAACATGACAGATGAACAGAAAGCACCTTATGAAGAGGTTTGCTAACTCGAATTCTTGAGGATCTTCGTTTGCTTTTGTGTGCAGTTCTAATGCATAATACAACTCTGTTGCAGGTGGCAATGAAGAACAAGGAGCAGTATGCTAAAGAAATCGAGATCTACCGGCAAATCAAAGAAGAAGAAGCTGCCAGCCGCAAGAAGGAAGAGGACGAGATGGATAAACTTAGGAAGCATGAAGCAATGCAATTGCTGAAAAAGAAGGAAAAAACTGACAATCTCATAAAGGTTGGTTTCTTTTTTTTTTTTTTTTTTTTTTTTTTTTTTTTTTTTGGTTCGGGGACACACATTACAACTGGATGGGGTGTGTGCATCCGGTAAATCTCGTAATTTTAACTGAACTAATCTGGGTTGTCGATAGTTGATCGGCTATTTAGCTCAAATCAAGAAGGGCAATAGGTTCCAGAATTGAATTTGTAACCCTTGGCTGGGGTTGCTGTCTTCTTTCGGCTCAAATAAAAAAGGGCAATAGGTCCAAGAGTTGAATTTGTAATCCTTGGGTGGGGTTGCTCCCTTCTTTTTATAAATGTAAAATGTGCATGGGAAAAATCTCGTGATTTTAACCTGATAAAACACATAAAAATATAAATTAATCTGGGTTGTCGATAGCTGAGGCTCAAACTAAGAAGGGCAACAGGTTCCAGAGTTGAATCTGTAACCCTTAGCTGGGGTTGCTCCCTTCTTTTTTACTTCTTTGATCATCTGGCAGGAGATCCTATATCACCCCACTAAAAATGATGCCTGGGAAAAAATGCAGAAAACTAAAGAAGAGCAGAAGAAGAAGCAAAAGGAAGAGAAAACCACTGATCCTAACAGGCCAAAGAAGCCTGCAACTTCATACCTCCTATTCGGCAAGGAGGAGAGGAAGAAGATAGCAGAAGAGAAGCCTGGATCCAACAACTCTACTGTTACTGCACTCATTTCAGTCAAGTGGAAGGTACAATCCCCATTCCCAAAGCTCCAAATCAATTTTTTAACTGAAAAATTGTCTCTTTAAATATATCTTGATTGGTTTTCTTGGTCTGGGTTCTCAGGAGATGAGTGAAGAAGATAAACAAGTGTGGAACAACATGGCTGCAGAAGCAATGGAGGCATACAAGAAGGAACTGGAGGAATACAACAAGGCAAAGGAGCAGAACAACAACAACAACTGAAGTTTCATATTTTAATATTTTGATGGGTTCAACTGGCTGGGTTGAACAACTAAAAGATGGATCTTCTTTCTATTTTTGCACTGTTGTTATTGGTGCTTGTTTGACTTGCAAATTGGAATATATGGAAAAGAACTTTTCCCTTTTTTGGACATTGCCAACTAGTATAATATATATATAAAAAAAAAAATTGAGAGTTTAATTTCTGTGAATTTAACAAAGAAGCTCTTGCACATTGTGCTTAGATGACATGTAGTGACCTCTCTTATGTGGGAGGTCATGAGTTGAGGTGTTGACTCTTTGTGTTTCACTAGGTTGAGAAAGTATGTTTGAACAGATATTACAGATATTACAATGTAACAAGAGAGGGATTTATTATAAATTTATTCTAAACTAGTATTTTCACCCGTGCGATGCACGGAATGGAATTGTTGTAATATATGAAGAATATTTAAATCGATATATAATTATTTAAGAGTTAATTTCACCCGAGGTCGTTTATCTTTTCTGACAATTCCAAATTTAATCCTAGACTATAGTTATTAATTATTACAATTTATTCTATGTTACAACTCTTACGTTAATATTCTTACTATTATTATTAACACTTAATTACTTTTAGATATTATTATTACCACTTATATTATTATATTATTATTATTATTAATTTATTTTCAAGTACTATTAGTATGTAATGGTCGTGAGGCACAATAATAATATAACCATAATTAAATATTCTTGTATTGTATTCCGGAGTTAATGACATTTTTGGTCCTAGACTTATTGAGGCATTGACACTTTTCATCCTCCATAATAAAAATTACCACTTAGTAGACACTGTTATTGGTCGTTGGACAGTTTTGATCCTCCGTCAATGAAGCCGTTTGTTGACCGTGAATTAGAAGGGCTTTTCTGTCTTTTTATGTCTTATTCTTATAATCTTGTTTAGACCAGCGCTGCTGTGACTCCTGTGAGGCGAGATGGCGAGACTTGGCGGCTAAGTAGTAACCGTCGGTAGTGAGTAGTAGCGAGGTTCTTCTCCAGCGAGTTGTGGGTACGGCGGCGAGCATACGAGGCAGTAACTCCTTCCGGCGACGGACCAGTAAGGCAGATCTGGCGGTGCAGCAACAGATCCGGCGAGGTTGGGGCCTTCACCGGTGGTTTTTGGTTCCGGCGAAGCAGAGAGGGCAGCAGGTCGGCGAACCCTCCTATGGTAAATAGCAGTTGTAGTTGTAGATGGCGTGATGTAGAATTTGCACCTGTAAGTCCTCCCTTCCATATTGACCACAAATATCCTTCCCATCTCTCTCTCTCTCTCTCTCTCTCTCTCTGACCACAACTACTTGGTGCACAACCTCAAAAACTATGTAATTCTACCTGAAATTCATTGAAGTTTCAAGCTGAAAATGTGGAATCCGCCGCTCCCCAAAAATTGCATTGTCTGAGTTGTTGGAATGGCCGGTGTTGACTTCCTGGCTGTTGTAGCTTCATTCCCCAACCCGGATGATAAAATTCGGAGCACCAGCTTTGAGGTTCAAGGAGGTGGTAACATTGGCAATGCTTTAACTAAACCCGGATGATAAAATTCGTCTTGGTCTTAATCCAAGGATCATATCTAAGGTTACTGATGACTCCCATGGCGAAAGAATACTTGATGAGCTTGAAAGGGATGGTGTTGATACATCTTTTATGGTGGTGTCCAAAGGAGGAAACTCACCATTCACATATGTCATTGTTGACAACCAAAAAAAAAAAAACTCGCACGTGCATTTTCACTCCAGGATATCCACCCATGATATCTAAGGGTCTACATACCCAAATCAAAATTGTCTTCAGCGCTTGGAGTAAATATTGTCTACTTAGATGGAAGGCTGCATGAGACTGCTTTGATTGTAGTGCAGGAGGCAAATAGTAGGGGCATACCTATTATAGTTGATGCAGAAAGGTTAAGGGAGGGGTTGGGTGATATTCCTGACTTTGCTAGTTATGTTGTATGCTCGACAAAATTTCCACAGGCATGGACTAACGCCCTTTCTATTCCAACTGCACTTGTTTCCATTATCTTGAGATTGATGTCAAATGTAAAATTCGTGATTGTTAGTTGGGTGAAGATCGTTTCTTAATGTTAGAAAGGACTGAAGCGGATAACCTCAGTTTGAAGAAATGGATGTAGCAGTGACCAATGGATGGAGAAATACAAGGATTAGAACAAAAAAAGACAGAAAAACCCTTCTAATTCACGGTCAACAAACGGCGTCATTGACGGATGATCAAAACTGTCCAACGATCAATAACAGTGGCTACTAAGTGGCAATTTTTATTATGGAGGATGAAAAGTGTCAATACCCCAATAAGTCTAGGACCAAAAATGACATTAACTCTTGTATTCCGTGAGTCACAATAATAATATAACAATAATTAAATATTGTTCAATTCTATATTTTTGTAGGATTTCTATTACAATCATTAATTATTCCCAAATTTACCATAATTAAATAATTTAACAAATTATAAAGAAAGATTATTAAATAATGCACGGGACAATTGTTTAATTAAAAATTTTAAAAATTCATTAATAAAACATAAGGTTCTCAGAGTTTTTTCTTAGAAACTCTTTAATAAAGTATTTTTTTTTAGAAATTGGTGGGCCAAACCGCCTACGGCAGTTTGCGGTGGATAGATCTCGAAAAAATACGCAATTTCAAAAAAACATTTGTCCAAAACGGACAACGGAGTCAAAAGTTATGCATTGCCGAACTTTTGACACTTTACAACTTTAACCCAGAATTATTGTACGAATTGAAAAGTAGAAATCAATATATTTTATTGGGAAGAGAGATTTTTTAGGAATTGGGCGAGAAGTTAAAATTTCAGGATTTTGATTTTATATATAGTATAGATTGTATTACACTATTTTATAATATTAGAATAGAATTTTAACGCAGAATTATTGTACGAATGGGAAAGTAGAAATCAATATATTTTATTGGGAAGAGAGATTTTTTAGGAATTGGGCGGGAAGTTAAAATTTCAGGATTTTGATTTTATATATAGTATAGATTGTATTACACTATTTTATAATATTAGAATAGAATTTTAACGCAGAATTATTGTACAAATGGGAAAGTAGAAATCAATATATTTTATTAGGAATAGAGATTTTTTAGGAATTGGGAGGGAAGTTAAAATTTCAGGATTTTGTTTTTATATATAGTATAGATTTCCACTGCCTCGGCCCCTAGAGTAACTGTGAAGGAAAATTGTGCGAGTGCAGCCCACCAGTCATAGTCAATTCAGACCTTCGAACTCCCACAGTACCGTCTTTGATCATAACCTTTTAAGTTAGGTGACAAATTAATTACGCTAAATTTTGAACAAATCAATTACGCTAAACTTTGAACAAATCTTATCTAATTTTTCCAATGGTGGTTTTCAGAAAAAAAAACAAAAAAAAACAGATATTTAAAGTAAAATTTTTAGTTACTAAATTAATTTGAAACTAAAATGGTAACTGTGGGAAGGGCCAGATAAGATTCAGAAAATCCAGGGATACTAATCCGTCTCTATAGTATTTTCCTCTCCTTACATGTCTACTTCCATATTAGTTCTTGTGCGGTAGAGTTTCTTCCTCACACAAACCCTAGTTTTGTTTTTTAAAGCTGCGTTTTTAACCGCCACCGTCCAGCCGAAGGCCGGAGGATTTAATCATGGTGAGAACGAAGGTGGAAATCAAGAGAATAGAGGACAAGGCGAAGAGGCACACTACCTTCACCAAGCGCCGCCAAGGCCTGTTCAAAAAAGCCAGCGAGCTCTGCAAGCGCTGCAACGCGGAGGCCGCCGTGATAACTTTCTCGTTAGCCGGCAATGCATTCGCCTTCGGACATCCTTCCGTGAATGCTGTATTGGCTCGCCACAATAGCTACGACGCTAATGGTCAGCCGTGCAATGATCGGGGTAGTGTTGATGACGATGACGCAGAGAGCGATGCTCAGAAGGTTCCAGAAGATGGTGGTGTGGTGGTGGTGGCGAGTAATGAAGATTTAAATGATGAAGATGATGATATGAAGGTGGAAGAGATGAGTATGGAAGAACTGGAGAAGCTCGATTCAGCTATGGAAGAGATGAAAAGAAAAGTGATTGCTCAAATGAAATTGTTAGTCTAACCGGTTGATAGATTGAAATTTGACTCAATTTATGATTGTTAATTTAATCAGAATCTAAATTTTATACAGATTTTTAAGAACATTTGTAATTTAATTATATATATATCAGTACACAGGTCCTGAACATTTGACAGCCCTAATAGTTCTAATTTAGTTTGCACAAAATTGATATTTATATCAGTATACAACAGGCCTTTTGACTGTTCTAACTAAACTTCAATCTCTGGTGGCAAAAATCACCAAATGTGGTCTTTATTGGTTTTCATTACTGCTATGTCTAACTGAGATCTTCATGTGAGAAACTCCAAGGTATCAAATGGGAAATTTGGGTCTAAAGTTGCAGGGTGAAGTGAGTAGTCCAAGCCCACAATTGGAGAGTTTGTTGATGATGTGTTGGCTGAGGAAATATGAACTCCCTTGAAGGCATTTGTGTGTTGCTGTGAAGCAGAGAAGTAGTTCGAGTCGGGAGTGGTGGGGGAAACAAAGGAGAGTGAGTATGTGCCCAATGCCACTGCATTGTCATCAACCTGTGAGCTCTGGAAGTGTTGATTCTCGTCTGTAAGTCCGGAGAAGGTTGGAGGGAAGGAGAAGGGGAATGCAGTTTCCTTTGTGTCCAATCCATCTGTGCTCACTCTCAGGTTTGCTCTCAGGTTCATTAGCATCTGGTTTGATTGCATTGCCTGGAGACTCTCGTTTTGGTGATGGATTTGTTCGAGTTGTTGATTTTCAGGCGATCTCAGCGGGGGAACTGAGGTGGTGGGAGCTAGGTTGCAGGTATGTGCCCCCTTGTATGTGATGTCAAATACCGTTGGATCATCATCAGATCTCTGCACTTGCTTAGTTGCCCAACAGTTGTGCATTAGGCGAAACGTGCATCTGTAGTAGCTCCTGCAAACATGAAAATTCTTAGCATCTGGTTACCAAGTCAACAGCCCGTGACTAGAGTTGCCCCTGCATGTGTGTATATATCTTGGTCTAATAATCATTGGTTTTCATAACTTTCATGCAGAACAATGGAGTTCACTATGCAGTATTCACCTGGGATATTTAGCTCCAAGAATGTCTTTCTGCCCGTATTTTCGCCAACTATATCCATCTTCTGTGGGGCCTTCAAGGCCATTTTCAGCGCCAACTCTTACTTGTTCTGTCCATGTTGGCATGGCCTTTCTGCAAGCCAACAAAGAAACAGGTAAGAAATTGCATTATTAGAATTAGCACATCTAGAATCTTGATCATATAATGAGAGACAGAATAAGGCGTATGTACCTCTTTTTTGATACATTGTAGTCCTGCTGCTCCTCCTTAAAACTGTTGTTGTTGTTGTTGTTAATGTCGAGGCTCCCATCGAGAGACATGGAAGATTCAGGGGCACCTGGCAGAGGTGGCACTGGGTGGGATTGCCCTACCAACCTCCATTTGAGAATCAACAGGGCTTTCTCATAAGAAGAGAGTATCCTCTGCACAAAAAAGTATTGGGTTTCAGAAGAAGCTGCAGAGTTGAGGTGAACTCTTAGCTGCTTTGCACATTCCATCCCTTGGATTAACTCATTGAGTAGAGCCTTGTATTCCCCATTATAAGCGCTGTCCATTTCGACCAAAGGGCTAGTTCATTCCAAGCTGGTGATCACAGAAATATAATGGGTTCGGTTTTGTGGTTCAGAGTTGGATTCGGATTCGGATTCAAGACTCAACAAGTTGTACGGTTTGGGAGGCAAGTTTAGGATGGAATGAAGAGTGCTGAGGAAGGAGAATGAAGGATGTGAATATAAAGAGTGACATTTTGAAAGGGATTATTATATAGCAAAAAGGGCTGTGGAATTTTTTTTAAAAAAAATTGGTGCAATGAGTGCAAGAGTTTGAAGTTTGACTGGAGAAACCGAGTTTTTCTTCTTGGACTAGTCTTTGGTCATAGCAGAAATATAAGTGTAATAGTGAGATAGAGAGGCGTAAGAAAAGAAGGTCCAAACATGCCTAGTGCTGACCAATTCAAATCCCCCACCCAATTTCTCTAAATCTTTGCAATATAATTAGGAGACAAAAAAAATCCATGGATCTTATTTTTTGTATATGCTCAACATTTTACTCACATTTATTGGATTACTTTTGAACATTATAAAGACATTTGGCCCACCTTGGGCAAATACCTAAATGAGCTTAGCTCAACATTTCAGCTACAATGTGGAGATTGTGCTTTGGGGTGTGGGGGAGATTATGCTCCGGGGTATGAGGGTGTGAGGGGTCTTTGGGGTTTTGGAGTGTGAGAGACCTTTAGGGTTGGAGATTTAACCTTTTGAGAGAAGAACATTATAAAGACTCTACTTGACAAATCTAATTGAAAGTTGAAAATTAATTAGTTAAAAGTTTAAAAAAGAAAAAGATACTTTTCTCCAAAAATAACATTTTTTCCAAAATATATAATTTTCTCCAAATACACTTTATACAAAATATACAATTTTTTCAATATATGAATAATTTTTCAAAGACATAATTTTTCCACAATAGTTTTAAATTCATAATATAGTAGCGTACAACTCTCAATATACGAATATATATAACACCCAAAATTTCCAAGTCACACATTTACACAACACACGGACTTGTCAAAACTCATTCTCGATATCTCGAGAATCACCACACACAACATTACAATGCACTTGTGATAACATGAACATTTTTAACTCACATAATTATCATATATACTTCATATAAATAGATTTTTGAGCAAATAATTTTGATATCGTATCCTCATCCACACATCATAAAAAAAAAAAAAATATATATATATATATATATATATATATATATATATATATATATATATATACTTTGGAGTAAAAAAATAGTTAAGTTAGAAAATGAAAGTTGAGAGCCATTAAGCTACCCTTACTCCACTAAACAAATTTATAACTATTTGTAGTTTAAAATAATGTATAAATTCATTATTTTTTTAATGTCAATAGTAGATGGTATGACTCAAAAATTGAGTGTGGATAAAACGAAGATGCGAGTCTATTCTAACTGTTCGAACCTGAGAATATAATAATCTCATAATTTATGAGGAAGGGTAGAAATAAAATTTGTGACTAGGCCTAAAAATAATAAAAGTTGTGAGAAATAGAATATTAAGTGTTTGCTAAACACCTTGTGCTCAAATGGCATCCAGGTTGGATTTTCATATGGGAGGTTGTAAGTTCGAGCCTTAGTAGAGGTGTTATTAACTCTGTGTTTAAGTAGCATTAAAAAAAAAAAAGAATTATAAGTGTTTGTATTTATCCTAAAAAAAAAGGTGTTTGTATTTTTGCAAGGGGGTGTCAATCTCCACCGTACAAAGACGTTGCCTGTGAGCGGTGTAGATCTGAAAGTAGGAAAGTCCATGTGCTGACCGATTCAAACAACAGAAAGGGGTCTCTTTCTTTCTTTATTTCTCTAATTAATCTCTACTAAACAGGGAATAACATTAATGATTGAATAATTTAAGAGAAGAAAAAAAGAGGTGAAAATTTGAAGGCAAAACGGGAGAATCTTCTAACCTCCGACTACGCGTCCTCCATTTCTATTGGCTACGTGGAAATTGGGTGATTGGTGGACCATTCACCGTATGAGTGTGCAAATTCGGTTAATTAATTGTTTAATCAAATCAAATTGATCAAATTCAATTCAATTAAAATTGTCGCATTCTTCTTCAATGACAATGACGATCGATGAACAGTTGCGGATTACCAAAATTGTCGATAGAATCTTAACGACAGGTTATTATAGGCGAATAACTGACTATTGAGTTTAGATGCACCAAAAAGACATGTTTAAGTGTTTAATTGTTCTTCCGTGTAAAGTTTATGGACGTATTTGACTATTTTTCTTACTTTATATCATAAATGTGGTACTTTATAGAAAAACTATAATATCTAATTTGCATGAAATAAAGTGTCATTACATAGCAAAATTGTAAATATAATTAATACTTTAAACCTTTTATATATATATATATATATATATATAGGGTGAGGATCAAGTGAGTACATAATCTTAGGTGAGGACGTGAGGACTAATCTAGACCATTAAATCAGAATAAAAGCATGACTGAGATTAAAAGGAACAAATCACACGGATTAAGGAAACAAATCCCTTTAAAATATATAAAAATATAAATTTATGGGTAAATTAGAATCTGTGCATTACTATACAAAATATTGTGCATTACTATACAAAGTATTGTGCATCAGTAAGTCTAAAGTTGTGCATTCAAACACCACCTAAAAATCCTACAGTGGACATCTCAATGTCCTACGATGCACTAAAATATGTGCAGTAATGCACAACTCACCAGCCCACAGTGCACAACTTACAACACTAGGTTGCACAACCAGCACACACGAATGCACAATCGTACTATCTAGGCATTTGTACATATACACGATCATCCAAATATAGACAATATTATATTCAAAAGAACGAGCGAAAAAACAAAAAAAAATACCGATTACATTGCATGGGCGAACACTCAATCAATGGTGAAGAAATCGCGACGGTGGTGATCCAAAAAAATAGGAAACCAATTAAGGCAATGATTACACATGCGTTCACACTTTAAAAAAATAAAAAAAGACACTACTACCCAACTTTAACAAAAAATATCAATCCATGTCATCTTAGGACATCAAATCTGGGCCATCAAAATAAAAAACCAAACGCATAAGATTAGTCCTCACGTCCTCACCTAAGAATGCGTCCTCATTTGATCCTCAATCTCTCTCTCTCTATATATATATATATATATATATATATATATATATATATATATATATATATATATATATATATAATTAGGTTCGGGTGCGGTTAGGGTGTACATGTGCGGTTGTGCGGTTTAATCTGGGTCATTCATCTCGCTTAAATCAACGTCCAGGATTATCAAAATTATAAATAAATAAAAAAAAACGTGGTGGTAATTTTGTAATTTTTGCATCTATGTCAAAATTAAGGTGAGCGGTGCTGTGATTAATGTGCGTGAGGTTGTGCTTAATGTGAGTAATTGTTAAAACTTAAAGTGTGGGCTTTTGTGCTTAAGGTGCGTGAGATTTGTTCTTAATGTGAATGGAGTTTGTGCTTAATGTGCGTAGGGTTTGTGCTTAATGTGTGTGAAGTTAGTGATTAATGTCAGTAGTTGTAGAAACTTAAGGTCTGTGAGTTAATATTTAAAGTGCGTGGATTTTGTGCTTAATGTGCGTACGTGAGGTTGTGCTTAATGTCCGTGGGTTTTGTACTTAATGTGCGTGAGTTTGTGCTTAATGTCAGTAGTTGTTGAAACTTAAGGTCTGTGAGTTAATACTTAAAGTGCGTGGGTTTTGTGCTTAATGTGCGTGAGGTGGTGCTTAATGTGCGTGTGCTTTGTACTTAATGTGCGTAAGTTTGTGCTTAAGATCTAATACTTAAAGGTGCTTCTTACTTCCAGACATGCGTTTTTTTTTTTAATTTTCATTAACTTGAGTCGTTGATCTAGATTTGATCAACGGCTCAGATCTAACCGCACAACCGCACGGGAAGCTATACCCGCACTTGAACCCTTCCCTATATATATATATATATATATATATATATATATATATATATATATATATATATATATATATAATAGATTATAGGAAAACTATAATATATAATTTGCATTAAATAATATTACTAAGTCCATATAAATAAGACCCAAATTCTCATGACCTAACCCATTTCACGGATTGAAACCCGCGAGACGGTTTCATAGAAGAATTTTTCATAAAATAATAGACTAAGTCTTTTATAGTCATTTTGTATATGATCCGCTAATAATAAATAGTTAATTTATCAAATACATTTTACAAATTGCTAATACTACTAACTAGTCAAAACAACTTACACAATCAACTATTAATTATTTATTAACACAATAATTTATTAGCTAATTGCTAAATGCTATTGAAGAGTTTTTTCTTTTGAGTTTCAATTTTTAAAACATGAGAAAGAAAATGTTTTCTTTAGGTGCCTTAAGTATTTCAATTGAAGTTTTTCCTTAAAATTTCTTATTAAATAAATAATAGAATATGAAAATTTCCTTTATTCAATTTCTATGATACTAAAATTTCATTCTTCATATATTTATTTTTTCAAATAAAAAAGGTTGTTAATTCTTGAGGTATACTCAAAATATATACTAAGTTTTTAAGTTATAGGCATGTCTATTTTAATTCCTATAATATTTTCAAAGTGGTGTTTTTCGTTCTTAAATTATCATTAATATTTTTAAATTTTTGATAAGGGATATATTCATAAATTACATTTTCTCTTTTTCTCCTTAATATTCAACATTGTAAACTACTTATTATTATTGTTAGGTTGTTGTCAGAACCAGAAATTTCATCCAGTGAGGACGGAAGAAAAAAACAATATAATTGATCAAGCAAAAATATTCAACCTCTTAACCTCTACTACAACACATACATGCTTAACCGTCTAATTAAACACTTCATCTTTGAGTAATATATATCTATGTTATTTATTTATATCTAAACATTTGCTATATATATAAGGGGTGAGGTGGGTGGGAGAGGCGGTTGCCCCCACTTCCCTCGGCTCCGCCAATGAATGGTTGTTTACATAAAAGTTTTAATTAAAGGAATAATATCTCTATAGACCGATGCATATTGTTTATAATAAGCAAATTTACATGTCATATGGCAAAAAATATTTGTAGTCATAAGAATCAAAATTAAATCATTTTAAGCGAAATGAAGGATTATATTACTAATGTAACTAATCTCCTTAAAAATCACCGGTTCTCACTTAGATCAAGAAAAATAAAAGAATACTTTTCTTCATAAGATTAGAAAAGATTATTTTCAGATGAAGCTTGCAATTGCAAAATACGTAGTAAATTAGGTGGTATATTTTCTTGGAACTTTCTCAGGTGATAAAGACCCTTTCATTGGTCCTTAAACTATTTGGTATGATAGGGATAATTTCACCTAAATTTAACACTTCTCAACTTGTCTACTTCGAGAAAATTTCTCATAAACATCTAGAATATATGATTTTTTAAAGAAAAATTTGTAATTTACGCCCTTTTATAAATATCAATTATCAATGTCACTCTTAAATTATTAGTGGTGTAAATATTATCTTTCAATTTTAAAACGATACATATATTGCTCCTTTCATACCATAAAAAGGGACATTTAATTACACAAACCAGGTTCTACACCCAACACTCTTCTGGTCAAGAGGAAGGGGCCCATCATGGGGTTCATGTAATATGCTTTTGTATATATTTTTTCAATTTTATTTTATTTTAATTTCTGGTGGAGGAAAAGAAGTTGATTAAGTCTCCATATCACATCAAGAAGACCACAAATATCATAAATGATAGGTCCTTGAGAGCACTTGAAGATTTGGAGATGGTGGGTGTGGAAGGGTTCGAAATACTCTAACAATAGATCAAAATGTGAGAATAATGGCTAAATACGTTGTTCTATTTTTTAATGTTTATTGGTGAAAATGGTCAAATGTAAACAAAAACTTACGACGAAAATTTACAAATTTTAAGAAACGAAAATGCGATGCGATCCTCTACTTTTTACATAATTCTTTTTATTGCTTATGTTAGAAAAAGTTAAATCATTATTTTTACCAATAAAAATACATTAATTATTTAATATTTTTTTATTTAATATTCCATTTAATTGAGTAATATTAATGAGATATTCTAGGAGATAAAAACATATGGAGCATGAAGCGTTCTCTTCTTCTTCTTTTTTATTTCACATTTTTTTACTGCCTAAGATTTCCCTCTTCAGGGCAGATCCAGAGGGAGGCAATAGGGGCAGTTGCCCCCCTCCCCCACCCTACCCCTTTTTATGTGTGTGTGTATGTGTAAATATAGTAGATTTTTTTTTTTTTTTTTTTTAAATAGAAGTAGATGATACACTATTATACCAAAACAAATTATTAAGGAGTTAATACCCAAAATCGTCCTCGACTATAGTGGTTTTTCTCAATTTCGTCCTAAACGACTTTGGTGACCTAATATCGTCCCAGACTTTTGTGTTTCGCTCAATTTAGTCCTCCATTTGTTATTCCGTCAAATTGGTGTTAAATTTAGGGACAATTCAGTAATGTCAATATTGATCTCTCTTTACTTTCAACTTGTGAAGTGCGAAATTCCTCTTTCTTGTACGAATTACACCCAGAATTACTCGCGAACCTGCAAATTAAATTTTATATTCGCAATTTTAGGAGTAATTCTGTGACTAATTCGTAAAAAAAAAAAGGATTTTGCAGTTCACATGTCTATGAGTAAAGAGATGCCAATATTAAAATTACTTAATTGTCTATTTATTTAACACTAAATGGATAGAATAACAAATGAGGGACTAAATTGAGCAAAAACACAAAAGTATGGGACGAAATTGAGCGAAACATAAAAGTTTGGGACGATATTAGGTCACCAAAGTCGTTTAGGACGAAATTGAGAAAAACCACTATAGTCGAGGACGATTTTGGGTATTAACTCAATTATTAAGGATTAAAGTAGCTTAGTTGGTAATAAGTTTTTTGTTGTTCTAAACGGTTTAGTGATCAAAACTTATTGACTACATGTTAATTGTAGTTTTTTTAAATATTAATTGTGAGAGTTATAATGTGTTATGTATGATAATAACTATTTAAATTGATTAATTAATTAATTCTAAATATGTTTTGTAATTCAATTATAAAAAAATATTTTAAAAAGAAAATTTACTATTTATGAACTATGTAATCAATGTAGTACTTTCAATTATGTGTCATTGTATTCAATTTTTTTTTTTTTTTTATGACAAGGGAAGGGGATACACCCATACAAACTAAGCTTACAACAAGGCTCAAAACCTAGACATCTCACATAGGGGAGCAATCCGATACCAATAGACCACAAGCCACTTGGTGTCATTGTATTCAATTTAATCTAGAAATATATAGAGTTGATCTAATTAAAATAAAAAGGTATTTATGAATATTATATTAATAGAGATGAAATGCAATTTATTTTAATCATTTCATATTTTATCATAAATATTTTTAATCATGTTTTGAAGTTTTTAAAGGTTTCACCCCAACTCAATAGTATTCCTAGATCCGCCAATGTCCCTCTTGCTGAAATCTCCTTAAAATAAGGGAGATTATTTTATTTTGACTTTATAACTAAATATAAAACTGCCAACTACTATATAGTATACTGACACATCTATTATCATTCTAAATGGGTGCTCAATATTACCTTATAATGATTCATGAGTGTTTAAAAAAAAAATAGAAGAACCAATCTCCTTAAAATTAAAATAAGGGAGGGATGATTAATGAAGTAAAGATATGAGGAGAGGATAGCATTACTCTTTAAGAAATATCACCAAATAGAAATATGAATATTTACGGTGAAACTAGGGTATATTGCAAGAATAAAAAATATTAACGGAATTAAAATTTGATAATGATTAAATATTATAAAAATTAAATTATAAATAATTTTAATTGAGTATTGTGTACGAGCAGATATTAGGGTGTTTGGTAAATGGCTGTTAGCTAATTTGGTTAGTGGGTTTGATTAGTTGATAACATTAGTTGATTGTAGAAAAGTGTTTAGTAAATTAGTTGTTAGTTGATTATTACAAAATGACTTTCTCAAAAAATTTATCGAAAAAGTTACTTTGAATTTTTTTTTTTTTTTTGAATTTTAACATTTGGAGCAATAAGTTGTTTCAAAAAATTAATTAATCACAAATTCATATTGATTGTTTAATGAAGTCAAATAGCTAATAGTAGTCAAATAAGCCAAAATTGGATAATAAGCAAACTATTTTATCAAATAGGACCAATATAAAATGTGATGAAGGGAGTGAATATAATTTTCAGAAAGTGATTAGATAAGAAATTAATGATGAAAAAACAAGAGAATAAGATATAGTTGGCAGTTGGAGAGTGATTTCGATGAAAATGACGAAATGGAATCCCTAAAATGCAATGCGTGCGTCACTGTCCTTTGTATACCCGTTCTCAACAATTTTTTTTAAATGTTTTTTTTTTTTTTTTGGTAAACTCTAAACAGTGGTCCAATAATTTGATTCTCAATAATGATAATAATGATGTCACACAACTCCCATCAATAATTTCGATGTTATATTACACGAATTTTTATTCTACTTTCTATTTTCTAACGTGTTTATTTATCATTAATTTTATGGATATAATTTACTTTTTTTCCCCGTTTCCATCATATATATATGTTAAATAGCAAAAGTATATACTCTTAAAACTATAATTAATATTTTATACCGTGCCAAGACTATTATCACACATCTCACCTTTTTATTTTAAGTACATACAAGTTTTAAACTTTCAACGATAAGTCTTATTTTGAATAAATTAAATTATGTGAATCTACTAATTTTTGAAATATTATTTTAAAGAAAAAGTTACATAGCCACTCTATGTGTGTGCGTGTGTATATCTGTTATATGAGGCAAAATATGGGTTGTAAGGTCGCGAAGATCAAATATTGTATTGAGATCGTGTTTGTCAAGCTATTATAAGATAATGTAATGCTATTACAACCATATTTTAAGACAAAGTAGATAGAACAAAATGACAAGCCATGTCCTAAAGGGACAAAATGAGTGCTTTTATACCCCATTGTAAGTAACAAAAAAAAAAGTTTAGATTTATGAATATATAGAACAAATATTATGAACAATTGAGTGCTTTTATAAGTCTAAACCCATCCCCATTTGTTGAAAAACCATGATTCAAGTTTTTAGGCTGCAAAAACCGCTTAAAATCCACCACCACTATTGTGGATGCTTTTTACTTTATGAAATTTTGAATTGCACAATTTATTTGAACCTTTTTCCACCATGCAAGTGGATGATTAAAATCTTGATAGAAAACAATGACTAATGAATATGCTAGTGCATCGATCACAGCTTAACTATTCTTGGTTTTTCCATCATTTAACTATGATACTACTGAATTTTCTTATAACGAAATGAGAACATAAATATACAAAATAAAACTGAGATAAATCATTATTTTAGAGAATTGATGACAAGCATGGGTTACAAAAAACCAGTATCAACCCAAAAACAGAGGCTGAAGCATCAGGGTTTCGGTTAAAGAAGAAGCAAACAAAATAGCACAAGTTAGCGGACATACTGTAGGCATTATGTTCTCTTGATCTTGGAAAATGTTCCGGTTTCTGAGAAGTACGTGCTCTGGGTTCCTGACCCAAGTTGATTTACATATGCTTGTGGGTTCGACAGTTCAATCCCCTGAGAAAAGAACCAAATATAGTTGGCATCAAGGAAAGCATAATTATTAAAATGCAATGTGTAGAAATAACAAAGGGTACCGAGTATACTAATATTAGGCAGGCAATAGAGCTTATAGAGCAGAAAGATGGGATTATCTAGGCTGTTATGGAGTTAAATTAGGATTTAAAAAAAAAAAAAAAAAAAAAAGTGGCAGAAACAAAACCATATATATGCATGATAACTGTAGTAAACTAAAATAAAACTATACAATCTGACTGCAGTAAGATATTGTTCTTGAGCTATGCTGATGATAGGCCAGCATTCAAGATTTCAAGGGTAGCTAAACACTAAGATCATCTCCAAAGAACACAGCCAAAAATCAAAATTTGGTGAAATTTTTGGCGCCGTTAATGAACAATGCAACGCCATGTTCATCTACACCAAATTGGGTGTAGTTTTGTTTTTTCCCATTTTGCCCATTTTTATTTGCTAATAATTCCTTTTATATCCTTTATTATAAATTATATCATTTGAAAAATCTCATCAAGACAATTAAAATAAGATTAATATTGAATATTTGAATGTAAATTAATTAAAAATTAAATTACATAAAACTTAAGTTCAATAAAATTAAAATCAATATATCCAAAATTACAATTATATTTTATATAAAAAAATTTCAAGTATTAATATAAACTATAAAGTTTTAATTTATGAGAATACAAATTATTTTAGTGAAGGAATAAAATTTGGTGTTATGGGTTGGAGATTGAAAAAAATTTTGGTTAAAGAATATTTCTTTTGACATAAAATTTGGTGTTCTGAATTGGAGATGGCCTAATATAATAATACAAGAGTGAATAGTATCAAACCTGCACAGGAGTGAAGGCTAAACTTGAAGTCAGTCCCGATGTAGCACCACTGCTTCCATAATTCTTCTCCTTAAATCTGAGCACAAATCCAATGCATGAAATATATTCATTGTTGAGAAAATACAATCAAATAAAATGTTCATTGAAGGTGGATGTGGCATTTGTAGAGAAAAATATTCAGCTTGAAAAAATAGGAAAAGAAAAAAGAAATTACTTAAATTATATATATATATATATAGGGGAATGTGAATTAACATACTTCTTAGCTACTTTGGCAGCAAGCTTGCTCTGGCCAACTGACACGCGTAATTTGCCACTTCCAGCCTGACCAAGCATTCCATATCCCTCACCCAAACCATCCCCTGTATTCATTCCATAAAGAGAATCACGCGTGAGAAAGTGAATGTCAGTCAAGGATACATTGAAAATCCCTAATACAACAAAATTGTTACAAACATCTTTGACCAAACAATTTAATGAAATACTCAAAATTCTATCATACTAAAATCCTCATTCAAGACATCCATCCCCATGAAAGGGCACACATGTGGAGGTTGAAAGATGAAGAAGACACAGAAAAGTAGGGAAAATTTATGAGGCACTACATACTAGAAAATTCTAAAATCAACTGCATTAGAGGTCTGGTCTATTTACAAGAAGGGGGAGAAGGGGAAAGATAATGTTACTTACCCAATGAGCTCTCTTCAGGTATTCCAAACTGCATTCTGTTAGCCAGCTTCCGCATGTCTGTAATGGCATACCTAGTGAAAGTTTATTAACATGAATTAGATACAACTAATACTCCGTATTAGATTGCATAACACATTTGACACAAGTCAAGAAAATGTTTTATCCTATAAGTTGGAAGAAATCATCAGTACCTTTCTTTCATCTTCCTCAGTCTACGTCCACCCCTCTTTTTTTTAGGCTCAGAATCTGGAACAGGAAGTGGTCTAGGCTGTTTGGCAGGAGGTGGCTCTTGCCACTTCTCTATCTTCTTACGAACCTCTTCTAGGAGAGATCGCCCAGTTTTCCCCGTTGGGTCTCCCCTTGTTGAATCAACACGTGCAGCAAGGGTAGCTTTCGCAGCTAACAGTCGACAGGCACGCATCCTTAGAGGAGGGGGTGTGCTCTGAAATATTTCTGTCTGCTCAATAAATCCAATGCGAAATTGGGATGTCGCTGTGGAGAACCCAGCAAGGGTCTTCTTTTTAGCACCAAGAACCTGCACATTACAAGCAGGCATCTTCGCCAATGAGGAAAGACCACCAGCAGTCCCCATAAGTTTTGCAGCAACAGCACTTCCTACAATAGCAGAGAGGTTTGGAGCAATATACCCCATTCGACTCTCAACAAAATCAAGGACTTTCTTCTTCGCCGAATCAAGAGCAAATGCACGATCACAAGCTTCAATTGTCTTTTGCAAGATATCTTCAGGCAGCGGCTTGCCATTTGTAGTTGATGCTGTAACTGAAACAACCATAATAATAGCTGAAGGCAACAGTCCTTCCAGATCAACAAGGGTGAGGTCCATCTCATTCCCAATTTTCTTAACCACTCGGGCATAGTCAATTGGGTGGTGAACAAGAGACTCCAACTCTGGGAATTTTAGGCGGTACTTATCACGTATGAAATTATGAATTATAATAATTTCATTCTCAATATCAACCGACAATGCATTACAATCTACAATCAGCTGGTACTCCGGATCATCTTCTAGAACCATCCCTGTTTCTGAGTTTTCAGAACCCTTTTCTAGTGCTTCTTCTACTTTCTGCATAGATAAATACCAATATCAACAATAAAACAGAGAATTGACTGCAAAAAGAAACATATAAACGGGGGATGGGTTTGACAATGAGAAGTTATTTCCACCCAGACATAGGCTCTTGGAAATCATCCATGAAATAGGGACATCATAGATGTACTCATGTACAGTTGTAAAATAATATCCTACTGGCGACCCAATGATTTAAACTACAATATAGAGTATGTTGGGCTGAAAATCTGAAGTTCACAAACTTCTGCTAACCTGCATAATATTGATATAACGCTGGGTCCTCTGCAATTTAGAGACACTATCCAGATCATCATAGTTAAGTGTTTCTATATCAGCTAGCTCACCATCAACATCTTCCTCCATGTGCTCAGCATCCACATTGCCCTCATCCTATTATTGGGAGAAAAGGAAAATAAAATGAAAAAGAATAGAACCATTATCACCCGAGGTCACCATGCATGCTTAATAATAATAACAAATAAGAAGAACAAGATCAAAAGCACTAGAAGAAAGAAATTATCATTAAGTTTGTTTGGCAATTCTTTATAGAACTCTCAATATTCAACTCTATGTCTCTACTCTATCATCAGGGAAAAATGTAAAGGGGGAAAGAGGGAAATGCGAGGTCCAAATAAGCAGTGCAATTAAAAGAAATAAGGTGCTGGACTCACAAGAATATCAGCTTCATTGTCAGATAATTCATCCAGATCTGCTAAGAAAGAATCAGCAAGAGTTGCCTGTAAACAAAAGAAAGAATTAACTGAGTGCTAGCAAGCCAACCAAGAAGCATATCAGATAAGAATTTAACACATCTGCAGAAACGTACATAAAGTTTGAAGGGGAATAATATACATGCCATGGAAGGGAAATAGTTGGTTAAAAATACTAAGCCTGGGCCTGCCTCAGATCATCCTTGAAAATTTAAGAATTAGGTGTTCTATTGTTCAGAGGTAAGCTAATTAAGATCCTAGGGTTCATTGAGCAAACTCAAGAGTTTGTCTCTAATCTAATGTTACCATCTACTTCAATGCCCAACAAAACCTGGGCCCCCAAAGATTTATTATGAGATGAATGTCTATTTTGGGGGATTGTTGGATTCGCATAAATGAATGTGGAAAGTTTGTAATATTTCGGCATTTATTGATTTCTTCTTGAAGTAGCAAGGTGTGCTCAACACTAGTAAACAAAAGTTCAATTCTGTTCATTTCCCTGGACTCAAGTTGGCAACAAAAATTCAAATGTCAACAGATCTGGGAATACTGAAGATTTGAAAGAAAAAAAAAATGTTTTTCTTCACAAAATAATTGCACTGGGTATTTAGAAATCAAATTCATCACAGCCATTTGTGAACAAATAAACTAATTTCTGGCTTCATTACACAAGAAAACCAGTTTTGTAACAGTACAATTAACGAGTTATGGTTTATGACTTCTCTATACATTGAAGTTGAAGTCTATGGCAAGAGAAATGGATCCTTAAATGTGCCTCAACCATCTAAAATTCTGGTATTCAACTGTTTTGTAAGAAATAAACAATTCCCAACCAATCCATAATCTTAAGATGCATGAAGTCATCTGAACTATGCAAGTACCACAAGGTCAAAGAACTATGGATAAGCATAGGAAGACACAATCCGTTTGAAAATCATGCTTTGCACAACTACCTTAGTCATAGGGACAACCACCGAAAACCAATTTGACTCGTTTTTTTTACAGGTACCAGGCTATGAATTATTTGGATATATCCAACAATCAACTTTCTACCACAGCATCAAATCCTTAATATTTTTCCTAACAATAAAGTTCAAACAACAGTGCTGGAGTTAACTACCACATCGTAAACCCAAGAATAGGGGTGTTTGGTAGGATGGAATTGTAATTCCATTCCTACCAAACTCCATGGAATTACAATTCCATGGTTTCGTTGGAGAGAATTGCAATTCCTACAGTCCCCCTAAGAATTGCAAATCCATAGTTTGTGGAATTGTAATTTCAAGGTGAATTACTACTTTGCCCTTGTTATTATTATTATATTCTTATTATTATAAAAGAGCATTTTAATCTTTATTCACTTCTTCTCTTTCAATTCCCAATTGTAATTTGAATTCACACCTTATTCTTTTCCAACAGAATTACAATTCTTTCCCCCCTAATTCCCTCCTTCCAACCTAACACCTTGTGAGTATCAATCGGCACTACTTCCAAATACTGACGTTCAACAAATCTTAATTATTGAAAACAAAATACCATGCAAATTCACAGTCACACACATCCAATACACGTATATTTTCCCCCACAACCTTGTGGCAAGCTCACATTCAATAATTTACAAACATCACAATCAATAATTATAACTCCTATTCAAAAAAATAAAAATAAAAATAAAAATTGCGGAACATAGAACAAAGGAAAACGTAAATTTAATATTAAAGTTACCATGAATTCAGGTCGAAGTTTTGAAGCACAACCCAGATGAGAACTGACACCAGTAGGAGACTCAATTGAAGAAGCGAAACACAAAAAACCCTAAGCTCTGGCTTTTGGCTTGGAAAGAATGGGAGAATGCCTGATTGATTTCGGATCTATTTTAAAGAAATTGGGCTTAAAAACAATCGGGGCAGGAGAATTCGGGTAAAACCGACTCGGATACAATAATGATTTTAGGCAGGAATAAGGTTCAAATTGGCCACTGAACGTAACCTGAAAATGCAATTAGGTCACTGAACGAAAAAAAGTGCAATTAGGCCACTGAACACTCCAAAAATGTGCAATTTCACATGATAGCAGGTTACCTCAATTTTAGCAGGTTATCTGCTTACGTGGCAGCTGAGTTGGCATTTTTAATAAATTTTAAATCATTTTTAATAAATTTTAATAATAAATTTTTATTTTAAAAAATTGTTAAAAAAATAAAAACGACTTTATTTTATTTTTATTTAATTTTTTTTCAATTTTTTATAAAATTTATTATTAAAATTAATTATTAAAAATTATTTAAAAATTATTAAAAATGCCAACTCAGCTGCCACGTAAGCAGGTAACCTGCTAAAATTGATGGTAACCTGCTATCCGGTGAAATTGCATACATTTGGAGAGTTCAGTGGCCTAATTGCACGTTTTTGGAGTGTTCAGTGGCCTAATTGCATTTTTTGTTCGTTCAGTGGCCTAATTACATTTTCAGGTTACGTTCAGTGGCCAATTTGAACCTTATATATCCATCACCTCCTTTGTCTTCTTAAAAACCAGAGTAATGAGTGAGGAACCTAAGACTCAGTTATAAAAATTCTAAAAAACTTTGTAACTTCTAAAAACGATTATTGACTAAACTACGACATATGAAAAAATTTTACATACTAAAACTCTCAAGTTATTTCGTTGGTGAATTTCTCATAAAAGCAACCTGAAAAATTTGACATCATTTTGTATCTCAAAAGTTCAGATTTGATTACATTTGTTGCTTAGTAAAGAAAATTGAAGATTGATAGGATAGTGTGTTTCAAACGTCTGAAGACAATAATCAAGTGTTTCTTTATTTGTGTTATATCTTAAGTTTGTTATACGAGAGTCAGGTTCCAAACAAGTCATACTAAAGTTATTGAAATGTTTTTAGAATTGAACAATTTTGAAATAAGAGGCTAAGAAGTGAAAAATAATGTTGTGAAAGTGGTTTTGATATAAGAAAGAGAATAAAATGTGAATTTTCTACTTAAGCTCTCAAATTTTAAATATTTTTAATTTTTTTTCGTCAGTTTTAACGATCGAAGATCAAATGCGCCACTTCATTCATAACTGAGAGACTAAAAATGGATACGGTCATAACTCAGGGACTGAGTCGGAACTTGAGTATAACTCAGGGACCAAAAATGCAAATTTCCCTTTAATATATATATATATATATATATATATATATATATATATATATATATATATATATATATATATATATATATATATATATATATAAAAATTATGAACAATGTCATTTTTAGTCTTTTTACATTTAACAGTTTATCAAAAAACTTATTTTATCAAACATTTTTATTTAAGCATAATTAACTAGTTAACCGTTCTTTCGTTTTCAACTTCTAGCTAGGTTTGTCAAACATAACCTATATTTGTAAAAATTTCTACGTAGGGATGCCCAAACTTCGGTGAAAGTTTGGTTAGTCGATTGAATCGAAGAATTTTAATTAACCAAGAAAACTTCGATTCAATTAATGATTAAAAGATTTACAAAATTCCGACTAACGCAAATTTAAAAACTATTGTTAACCGAATTAACTAAATGGTTAATCAAAATTATATATATATATATATATATATATATATATATATATATGTGTGTGTGTGTGTGTGTGTGTGTGTGTGTGTGTGTGTGTGTGTGTGTGTGTGGGGATGTTTGGACTCTATAATTTGTGCATTTATGTTTGTAATGTTTTTATGGTATTGTGTTTGTATATTTTCTTATTGATTTATTATTAAGGGAAAATTGTAAAAAATGCCCCTCTATAATATGCCAATTGTCAATGACAACCCTGAATTATGAGTGGTGTAAATGTTGCCCCTCAATTATTAAAACGGTGCACATATAGCCCCTACCGTAACGGACAAATGGTTCCCCGTTAGTGTTCGACACCGTTAAGTCAGAGTAAATATGTAATTGAATTGTTTTTCCCCTCCCTTGATTCGAAGTACCAGCGATGGACAGCGGTGGGGAACCACAAGTCCATTACGGAAGGGGCTATATGTGCACCATTTTGATAATTGAGGGGCAGCATTTACACCACTCATAATTCAGGGGTGACATTGATAATTGGCACATTATAGAGGGGCATTTTTTATACTTTTCCTTTATAAGTATTATTTTAAAAATTTAAAACTTTAATTTAAAAAATTTATGTTAATCAGATAATCGATTGATTAACCGAGAAAACCTCGATTCGATTAATTCGATAATACAAAGTTCACTTCGGTTAACGATTAAACCTTTAAGAACTTTCGTTAAAACGGTTCAGCTAGTTAAACGGTAAACGGATTGCACACCCCAATCTCTGTGGCCATGACCACATGATGCTTTTCACATTGTGCCTTCACGAACCTTCTGCACGGGATACCATACAAGTGGAGCTCATCAAATGCTTAAAATACACAAAAAGAATAGAATAAAAATGGACAAGAAAAACCATCTCAAGAAAGAATCAATCATTTTTCAATCCAACCTGTGCAGAAAAAAAGAACCAGATTCTAATAAGATGATAGGATACCATACCTTCCCATTGCTATATATATGCATGCATGTTGAGTCCCTGGAAACCTCAAAGCAAGTGATCAAAAACACCAATTAATTTAAGCCTCTAAATACCACTTCCTGTGTACTCGATCTCTTCGTTGCATTGATTCAATGGCGTCGACCCAGTGCTACAAAGAAGTGGATCAGACCACCATCACAACCACCACCGTTACCAGCCACAAGGTCGAGAACGATCAACACCATTCTTTAACCGACAAGGTGAAAGAAATGGCAGGAAAAGTGTTTCATCACGACGCTCACAAACAGCATGGCCATCAATCTGCATGCCAGGGCTCAACTGTAACCTATGAGAAGAAAGAGGGTTTCGTGGAGAAGATGAAAACCCAGCTGAAGACCATAGGCGGGAAGAAAAAGCACAGGGAAGGAAACTGCAATCATAGCAGTGACAGCAGCAGTGATGAGAGCGATGATGAGAAGTGAAAACCATGGGGATGAAGAATCAAGAACTATGAATAAGAGTGATCCAATGAAGGAAGATAAAGAGTGATGGTACTTCTGTTATTCTGAATTCTATACTACGCTAAATTTGAAATAGAGGAAAAAAAAAAAAATGGTGTGTGCTGTGATATGCTATGCAGAATAAATTCTAAATTTCCTATGTATTTATTACTCCATATCTATTAATTAAAAACATGGTTTCTGTATATGCCATTGTTCATATTTGATATCAGAATAAAGTTCATAACACAATGTAGCAAATGAAAAGTGTCAGTAAATACCAATAGAGCTCCACTGCTAGAGAATGAAGAACATATCATTATTGACAACTGGAGAACAAGGACAGGAAATTTTTGCAGAGGACAAATTGAACTAACCTGAAAAATCATCTACTTTTGACTTTCCAAGGCAACTGAACACTATAAGCTCCCTGGTAGATCCACTGTGACAATAGAGTGACAAGAATCAATAAGCCAAACTTCCTTTGAAAGAAGAATTCATGGTTTTTATCTAGATACTGATGCTCAAGTTTTAACAAAAATTACATCTTGGATTTTGGATTGATCTCTATCACATAGCAAAATAGCTTGTTAATAATTCAGATTTTACAAGTAGCAACTTTCATCTTTCGCAAACATTCTAAAACCACAGAAGAGCTAGATGCTCCTTTACAAAATTCCGCTTACAAGTCAAGGTGAAACACTAGCAAAATGGGGTCAAAACTAGAATGACCACGACTGGTCTTCTCTCACAATGGAAAGACTGACAGGTTGTCCAAAGTGTCACATATCTTACAAATTAGCAACAAAGGTCGCAACTGCTTGAACAGCAAGATCTTCAGCTTCTTCTTGAGTGGTTTCAGATAACTGCAGATGCTTCTTTCCAATCTTGAATGAATGATCGCCCCCCTCAATCGCATGTAACTCATTAGCACAGGTCATTTTCTTCCTAACAGCTTCCAGTTTATTTAATGGACAAAGTCCATCTTTGCTACCCTTCACCAGAAAAAGGACTATATTATACAAGGCTCAACATCTAGTATTTCCAATAATTCAAGGACTTAAGAATACACTTCAAACTATAGATTGCATAATTAGATATTTCTGATGGAATTTTTTTTTTAATATTTGATTAAATGTGGAATAGTGCCATTATGCCATATGAGCAGACAAAGCACTGATTACTAGCACCAAGAGAGCTATCTAAGCAATGAAAAAAGGTAGAGGCATCAGATTTTATTAAAAAAATAGAAAATATATTGAGTAAACACCAATCATTAGTTTTTATATATATCACCTTCATAAAAAGAGAAACATACATAACCAAGTGCATGTACCTGCACAAACATTATGGGAACTCTAAGTTGTAGCAGTATCTCATCTCTCACAGCACCATTTATTCCCTGTAATATTTGCAAATTTCCCAATAGTAACGGAAAACATATAATGTTGCACAAACTTTCAAGCAAGCAGCTTCTTCTGCTAATTGATAATTTTTGCTCTTCCCATGTTCCCCACTCTATTTAAATGGGGAAATTCTATACACACTACCTATTTTGCTATTTGCACCACCTATTTAATAGGTCTAATAACTTTATAGGTGGTGCAAATAGAAAAGTGCTATTTGCACCACCATCATTAAATGTGGTCAAAGATTAATATTTATTATCCATTTTTTTTAACAATCAAAATATTAATTATTAAATTAAAAAAAAAAAAAAGATAACCCGTTACCTTCTCCGGTGAGAAGGCAACCCACAGCGGGTTGCCTTCTCACCGGAGAAGGTGACGCTTCATCTTCTTCCCCCTTCTTTTTTTTTTTTTTTTATAAAAAAATTTATTTAATGTTTTGTAATTAAATTTTGAATTATAAAATTATTAATTACAGCTCATAAGTGAGGTTTGACCAAGGTGGTGCAAATAGCAAAGTGAACCCCCATTTGGCTATTTACACCACCTATATAATTATGAAAAGTTTCACATTTTTACACTTTCAAGGATACTTTATACCACTTTTGGTCAAAGGGTGGTGCAAATAGCAACACCCATTTAAATGCTATATGGCGGTATGGGTGTTGCTATTTGCACCACCCTTTGACCAAAAATGGATATAAAACACCTTGAAATTGTAAAAAGGTGAAAACTGTTAATAATTAATAGGTGGTGTAAATAGCCAAATGGGGGTACATTTTGCTATTTGCACCACCTGGTCAAACTTGCAATTAATAATTTATTAATTCAATATTTTATTAATTAAAACATTAAAAAAAAAATCACGAAACGTCACCTTCTCCGGTGAGAAAGCCGAGGGACTGCCTTCTCCGGTGAGAAGGCAGCCCAACTAGGTGGATTGCCTTCTCACCTTCTCACCGGAGAAGGTGACGGAATTTTTTATTTTTATTTTTTATTTGTTTTTAACTTTGCTGCCTTCTCCAGTGAGAAGGCAGCTCAGTGGGTCGCCTTCTCACCGGAGAAGGTGACGGGTGGGTTATCTTCTTTCTCTCTTTTTTTTAATTAATATTTTGATGATAAAAAAAATAGAATAATAAATATTAATATTTGACCACATTTAATAATGTGGACTTTTCTATTTGCACCACCTATAGAGGTATTATACCTATTAAATAGGGTGGTGTAAATAGCAAATTGGGTGGTGCAAATAGAATTACCCGGCGATATTTGCTAGGTTGAGGTGATAAAGCAATTATAACTTTCCTTGGTTTTATGTGTCTATAGGATCATCAAACAATCAAAATACTTCACATATATCAGTTTCCATTTATCACTTCTAATTTTAAAAGAGAATGCAATGCTTGAGAAAGATATTACAGCATAACAAGCATTACTATTATGCACATAAAGCCATAAAAGGTTGACCTTTAGTGGGTATCCCAAGCAAACTACAGCAGAAGCATCAATGTCTTGTCCACTGGCTACCATGCAGCTGACCCTAAATAAAGGAGCAGGATATGGGGGTTACAGTCTTACAGACCAGGTTTTCTTGCCCAATAAGTAGTCATCCATTTTGTCATTAATTCTCCACACTGCATATAGGTCTTGTGCAGATGGAAACCTATCTCAGACTAAGTAAAGAAATTGAAAATAATTGTGTAACATATATAAAGTAATTGAAAGCAAAGAAATGAAGAAACAGAAATAACTTGAGGGTGTTCCCAAAATCACCTGAAACATGGTCAGTGGATACAAAAAGAAATCTATTCTGCAATTATGTCATGAAAATGAGTCTTATCCGCAATAGCTAGAAATACCTTGACCCCATGGATTTCCCAACTAATATCAGTGGATGGTTAGGGTATTTAGCTACTGCCTCTTTTACAACATCAGAATGAAAGTCAACCAATTTTTCAGCCTTGGGAGGAGCTTTCCGCTTTCCACCAGAAATGTCTGCAGAGTAAAATACTTGAGTCTTCCTGCTGCATTTTATACTTAAGGTGGAATAAAGTACTATTAGGTGTCTGATTTATAATTACCCATCTTACTAGTTTACAGACATCACACAATAATTCGTATTTATATTGCCATGAAAGCTATAAGAAATCTATTGGTGGATGCCAAGCCTTACATGGGTAGTCAAAAGTTAGGACCTCAATAGCATTCAATGCCTTGGCCAACATGTTTTTCCATCTGTGCACAGAACACAGAACATTTTAAGTAGCCATAAAAGCTTGATATTACTTGTACAAAAATAGCAGTTCACTTAGTTAACTTATCTCCTATGTATATTTATCACTAATAAGTCACTAACAACTGAACTTCATTAAAAGTGTCTGTCAAGTGGAGCCAGAACAAAGCCTTGTTTAGGCCAGAAGCAAAATGTATACTCCGCAAATACAACACCTATCGCGCTTTTAGCTCAAGAATGCAAGACACATGCATGTACCTGATCATCCATTCAGAAGTGGAAGGAGCACCGGCGCCATGAGCGAACACCACCAGAGGTGCATTCTCTTTTATGTTCTTCGCTGATGAGCTTTTAGACGCAGTCGTTTCATTGGATGCTGCTGCAGGTGCTTCTTCCTCTTCTTGCTTTTCGACATTTTTCAGCCCGTCCTCACTGATGCGCTTGCGCTTTGAAGCACGCGTAAGGGGCATCCTCCTCTCTAATGGATGATACCACAGTAGAAAATATGACGTTCTTCGAGCTCCGGGAGGTCTGAATTTGGGAAATGGAACCCTAATTCCGTTGATACATACAGTGATTTTCGCGCCAAACATCTGGGAAGATGAAAAACTAAAATGGGCCGAAGTAATGGGCTAAAGCGAGATTCTCAATAGTCGATTAAATGTCGCAGAAATGGAATTAATGTAGAATTTAATTTTTGCTTAATTTAGTTTTAAATAACTTTTTTTATCTTTTTTTTTTTTTTTTTTTTGAAAGGAAAAGAACTGAATAGATTAAAGCAACAATTTCAAAATGGAGTCAGGGGAGATAGTGTCTCAATACAAAGTCTTCCTGTATCAAAGAATTACTAGACGTAGTTAAAGTATGAGCAATAACATTCACAATTCTGAAAACATAAATAACTGGCCAAAAATCAAAACTACTCATCAAAGAAATGCAATCCTTTAGCTATGCCGATATAGGAAAGGATTTCAGTAGAGGATAGTAGATTGCTATGCAATACAACATGCACAATCTGTATAGTGATAACATTCCTACTTTTATTATCACTTCCGGTAATGGAAGGGGCAATTACCATATGTTGGGACTGTCTGCTTAATGGTACGCCTACTATGTTCATAAGTGATTTTCTAGTAAAACTCACATGTACTTAAAACTTGTCATTCTTTTTTGGCATAGTACTAAATTTGATCTCAAAATAAGTACTAGAAGTGATAGTTGAGTTTTAATTTTGAAAAGGGAAAATTGTAAAAAATGGCCCTCTATAATATGCCAATTATCAATGTCACCCCTGAATTATGAGTGGTGTAAATGTTGCACCTCAATTATCAAAACACTTCACATATAGCCCCTCCCGTAACGGACATGTGGTTCTCCATTAGTGTACAACACCGTTAAATCGGAGTAAATATGTAATTTAGTTGTTTTTTGCCTCCCTCGATTTGAAGTACCAGCGATTGACAGCGGTGGGGAACTACATGTCCGTTACGAGAGGGGCTATATGTGCACCATTTTGATAACTGAGGGGCAGCATTTACACCACTCATAATTCAGATGTGACATTGATAATTGGCATATTATAGAGAGCCATTTTTTACAATTTTTCCTTTTGAAAAATACTGAGTGAACTCTCATTTTATACTCCTAACTTTTATTTTCCCTCACAAGTTCTTGATGTAGACTTTTTATTTATTTATTTATTTATTTTTTTTATGAACAAACATGATAAAAATAACATATCATTGTTTGTCATATTATGGAGTATAAGTAAAGGAATAAATTTTGAAAGTATACATAGTATAACCCTTTAATTTTAAAGTTTGGTGGGTTGGTTCTTTGTATTTTAGGTTACATCCATAAACACAAAAACATTAAAGATTCTTTGTATTTTAATTAATGAGGTTTTCTTGATGCGTCCACTTACATCTCATATGTAATTTATATGCTATATTATTAAAAAGATTGAATGAACAGAGTGTACTTAATACTATACACACTATCAGATAATATGATGATAGATTTCTCTCGTCACAAAAAAAATATTAAATATTACATTCCAATGAGTTAGAGAGGAAAGAATAGAGGAATAAGTTGTAGCTAGGGAAACAATCCTTACATGCAATTATTTTTTAATTTGCGTTTACAATATTAAGGTTGTAAACTATATATATGAAACAAATACCTAAATAAACAGAAAGAGATTTACATCTCCGGGCCAACCTAGTGGCCACATCAAAGTAAATCATCCAAAATTGTCTTACATATGATCTCACATGTGATCTAACATTTTTTTTTCATCATCACCTACACAAACAACATAAATATATCCTAAATGGTTACCTTTTTCACATCGTACATAAGTGCGAGCACCTGCTCCATATCAGGCCTCTCCTCCGGCAACTTCTTGGTGCAAGCCAAAGCAATGTCCCATGCTCCCAACGCTTGCCTTTTCTCCTTCCCTTCAACGTCGAATTCGAAACAACTGCTCATCATCATCTTCCCCTTCTTGATCACGTCGCTCTTCTTTATCCCCAACACGTCCAGTAAGATGACTCCGAAGTTGTACACATCGCTCTTCTGGCTTAGCGTTTCGGAGAACCTAAAGTTTGACCTAATGAGATGCGGCGTGCCGCAGTGGTCTGTCCGGGCGGCGAGCTGGGCGAAGCCGTAGTCGGCAAGGCGGGCGGTGAAGTCGACGTTGACCATGACGTTGGAGGACTTGATGTTGCCATGGATGTTTAGGTACATGTCCTTGTCCTTGTGAGAGTGGTGGGGTTGGGAGTGGATGAATGCAATGGCTTGGGCAATGCTGACTACTATCTGCAGCCGTTGGCCCCACTCTAGTGCTGTTTGACCTCGCTCCCTCGCACCTAATTTAACAACATAAGTTAAAAGGTACCATAAGTTTGAACCTTAAACTTAAGGCCCTGCACATTCCTAGCTTGAATGTGTTTCAGTAGTATAGTGATCTGAATGCTTAGCTTGGTTCATTATTAGTTCTTTGACTTGATTAAATATTCTGTTTAATTAATTAGCTTTTTGTAACAGTTTATTGCTCTAAAACGTTAAAATTCAAAAAACAGTTCAAAGAAGAAAAAAAATCATTTTGCATATAATACGCTATCAGCTAAGCTAATTTACCAAACATCTTTCTACAATATGCTAATGTTATCAACTAGTCAAATTCACTAACACAATCAGCTAATAGCTATTTACCAAACACCCTGTTTATATCAAAGCTAAGGCTGGCTATTCCAATTCTTCTGATCCAAATAATAACTAAATCACATAAGTAACATTTAATCACAACATATATGATTCATTTGCAAATTAATATATAATACTTACTTAAAGTGGTTGATGGTCACCAATATAATTAAATATAGATGGAGGGTAAGATAGATTGTAATATTAAGATCGAAAATGGATGGATGGATGCAAGAATAATATATAATACCTGAAAGAAGATCTGCAAGGCTTCCCATGGGATAATAATCAGAGACAACTAACTTGATCCTCTTAGCATATAGATAAGCAAATAAGGGAACAAGAAATTCACATTGGCTGCTAATCTGAGCCACCATCTCAACCCTCCTTCCAAACTCAACTCTCTTCACCACCACCATCCTAAACCGCTTCACCGCGCACGTTTTGCCGCCGAGAAGCACCACTTTCTCCGTCATCCCCAGTGGGCTCTCTCCAAGCACCCCAACCGACGCCCGCAGCGCCTCCTTCAGCGTGATCTGCTGCGGCGGCGCCTCCTCCAGTTGGTACACTAGCTTCCCCTTCCCCTTCCGGTCTTGGTCGCAGAATTTGAGAGGGACGTCCTCCTTGAACCCCACCATGAATTCCTCGTACTCGTGAATCGACATCGACCGACAGCTATCTTCATCGTACTTATAGCTCCTCCTCGCCCTGGGAGTCAAAGCCCTATTCATCATTTTGCTGCTTAGGTTAGTTTACTGTCTTTTGATCCAAAGAAACTGTATAGGTTCGTGTTATGGAGAACTGTCAAATAATATGGTGAATGTACGTCATTGTCAGGAAACCTCGGGATTATCAAAATTCCAGATTTGAAACATTTGTTTATGTTTATTGGGGCGGAGCCTGCATTGGAAGCGTCTTCATGTTTAATTGGTTTTAAAATCATTTGTTTGAACCCAGAGCTGGCTTTTCTTTGCCATTCTTTCGAACTATTCTGTGGATTAGACAACAATGTTACGAGTCAAAATCTTGGTGCTGAGCTCATCATCGTCATTATATTATATTCTTGCGGAGGAATCCCGGCCATAACAGCGATTGATATCAACGTAATCTATCTGTCATAGCTACGTACTCCTGGGGGACATATATAGAAACATCCCAACATGTAACCTTAAAATCAAATGCCGTAGGAATCTCGGGAGACTGCATGCCCCACGAGCGGGGCGTGTGGCTGTGTGAATTAATTTCACTATTATTATAGGCATAGTGGTTAGCTAATTAACGTTATATATATACCATGGTGTATTGTTATATGCAGCGGAACTAAAATCCGTCTCAAACGTGATGTACAGCATAGAAAATAATGCACCAAAATTTGGTGGAAATAAAACAATTTTGCAATGAAACTATAGGGTCATTGTAACAATTGTAATGACTAATCAACACTCTAATGGTGTGGAAACTAGAGATGGCAATGTGGCGGGACAAGGACGAAGAGTATACTCCCCATCCTAGTTTTTGGCACGAGAATTTAAGCGAGGACGGAGATTCCCTATCCCGGTCACTTCCTAATTAAAATATTAAATTAGTGCATTAATTTTTAATAACAAAAATAATAAAAACCTAAGTCTTAATTTCAAAATTTAAAATACTTAAGGATAACGTGTGTGTATATATATATATATATATATATATATATATATATATATATATATATATAAATTATTCAGGGACGGGTATTCATGTCCTCGATGGAAATTACACACATTCCTCATTTCCCATTCCCAGAAAATTCTCCCCATCCCTGTTCTGTCGGGACGGAGATCGTGGATGAGGTAAATTGCCATCCCTAATTCCAATATTGCAATAGATATATGTGTAACGTAAATTAACAATTCAACAAAGTTCATTTCGTTGCAAAAATTTCAATAAAAATAACCCTCAAATAAAAAACGTTGTTTTTTTTACTAGACAAATTAAAGTAACAAAAAAATTAAAATGGGGAAAACGTACAATTATATTATGTAAATGTGTGAGAATCTTAAGATAAAGTATTTTACCTTTGTGGACAAGATTGAATGACGAAGATACACATCTGAGATCTCCTCTTAAGCTTTCATATCTCTGATTCTCCGCCGAATATATAACATACACCCTCTACTAACCACCCATTTTATTGGTGTGACACTATGAATGCTTCATTTTAAATGTTTATAATTTCAGTTCTTTTAATTTGTCACCCAAATTGTTTGACCCATAATAGGATTCTGTAATTACTGGGCTCAACAACATATTATAGCAAGTTGTGAAGACCTTGTGGAATCAGATCACAAGCCCTACTTGGGCTGGCTGGATAAGTCTGAGGCCTAATTAACGTAGTCAAATCATTTTTTAGTACTACTGACTTTACTACAATGCGGTATTTGTTCATAACTATTTTCTCAACATAGTGTCTCCATTGAGCTCGAACCCACAACCTCCCATATGGGAGAGTAACTTGGTGCTACTAACGAACAACAATTACGTAATGTAACCTTCGTCTCATTTTTTTTTTTTTTTTTTTTTGGAAAACTAGTCTCATTATTTATAGCTATTTAATTATATATCTTATTCGAATATGGTAACACTTCTCTCCTCTGTAGCTTCTTTTTTTTGTCATCAGATTTAGACTTTGAAAAAGAATGCTTTTTTTTTTTTTTTTTTTTTTTTTTTTTTTTTTTTTTTTTTACTTCCAGAATGCCATTCTAACTACCCCAACCCATATTTTAAGATTAGGCAAGCTTCTCAACTCTCCTTCCTAACTCTGACCCTCCACACAAATCACCATTCTAGCTAAACCTCTAGACAATTGAAGTATGTGCTCTTAATCCATATCAACTAAAAGTCTAAACTTATAGTTGGATTATATATATGTGTGAGTCAATAATTATTTTTGACGGGTACCAAGCAACATATTTCGACCTCATGACCTTTGACATAGGGATCTGCTTTGATACAAAATTGAAACATGTGCTCCTTTCCAATGCAAAACCTTATCATACGCCCTCAATGCTTCCTTTATGGTACTCGTGAATCGACATGGCCAAAGACTATCTTCAATTCGTCGCAGTACTATACCTAACGCTCCTCCTTGGATTGGTAGTCAAAGCCCGGCCTAATCATTATCCTGCATGCTTTACTATCACATCTTTTGTGAAAGAAACTGAAGGTTCGAGTAATGGAGGATGGGATGGATATATGCTGGTTTGCTGGAGATCAGAGAAGATCAGAGGTGGCCAGTAAAATAAAAGCTTGCGCCTTTTGAATATAAATATAGTATGGTTTCATTGTCGTCAAGTTATCTGGGAATCATCGATGCTTTGAAACATTTGTTGACGTAGTTGAGGTGACTGAGAAGGGGCCTGCATTGGAACCGCCGTCACGTTTTATTGGTTTTAAAATCACTTGTTTGGTCCAAGAACTGGCCTGGCTTTTTTGTTTTTGTTTTTGCTTTTGCTTATTCCTTGGAATCATTCTGTGGTCACTGTCCTATGTGCATGCATACGGAATCTCATGCATAACAGCGACTCATATATATCAATGCAACTTACTATGTCAAAATCACTCCTAGAGTCCTAGGGAGGGTGACATAGAATGAAGTACAACAAAAAATATAATGACATTTGAACACTGAAAGGGAAAACAACAAATTTGGAAAGGAAAATGATGCATATATAGACACAACCAAGAAGTAAAACTCATGCCCATAGGGTATTGCCTTGATGAGAACTGATTGTATTATATTTTCTGAACTTGATTACAATGAGATCAGATGATGTGAATATATAGAATAGAGAGTCACAGTGTGACAATGATAAGAAGTAGAGAGTCACAGTGTGACAAGGATAAGAAGTTCTAAACAGACTCATATATATAGAGTCCTAATACTCCCCCTCAAGCACAACGTATACTAGTAACCTGTAGCTTGTCCCTTAAGGAAGAAAATCTAGGTCCAGGCAGAGCTTTGGTAAAGATATCAGCAAGTTGATCCTTTGTGGAGATGAAGTTGACTTGGATATCGCCCGAAGCTACTCGATCACGAACAAAATGATAATCAATCTCCACATGCTTGGTGCGGGCATGAAAGATTGGATTGGCACTCATATATGTAGCTCCTAGATTATCACACCATAATTTTGGAATGAAAATACCCGGAATCTGTATCTCACGCAATAATGACATAATCCATAGAACCTCTGCACAAACATCTGCAAGAGCTTTGTATTCAGCCTCAGTGGATGACCTGGCAACAGTTCTCTGTTTCTTGCAAACCCATGATATAAGATTACTCCCTAAGAAAACAGCAAAACCACTCGTGGATTTTCGATCGTAAGGACAACCAGCCCAATCAGAATCAGAGAAAGCATGAATGTCTCTAGATGAGCACCATCGTATGCGTAAACCATGATCAACTGTTCCCTTAACATACCTGAGTACCCGTTTGAGCTGCTCCCAGTGTGATATGGTGGGAGCATGCATATGCTGGCATAACTGATTAACTGCAAAGGATAGGTCAGGTCGTGTGACAGTGAGATATTGTAGTGCTCCAGCTAGACTCCTGTACTGTGTGGGATCATCATATAGATCTGAATTGAAGGGGACAGTTTTCGAGACAGAGATAGGTGTAGAAAGGGGTTTGCATTCAAACATTCCAGCCCGTTTTAAAATATCATTCATATACCGTTGTTGAGATAAAATAATCCCATTGTCACTCTTAACTGTTTCAATACCCAGAAAAAAATTTGGTTCACCAAGATCTCTGATTTTGAATGTAGCAGACAGTTTGGACAAGAGCTGAGACATAATACCCTGATCACTTCCCATTACAAGAATGTCATCCACGTACACCAATAGATAAACCAAAGCAGAGTCTTTAGAGTAATAGAATAGAGAGACATCTGTCTTGGATGCTTGAAAGCCAACCGATAGTAAGAACGTATGTAGTCGATTAAACCAAGCTCTGGGAGCTTGTTTTAACCCATACAGAGATCTTTTTAACAAACAAACATGATTCAGGAAGTTAGCATCAATATAACCAGGGGGTTGCTTCATATAAACTGTTTCAGCCAGATTACCATTCAGAAAAGCATTATGAACATCTAGCTGTTTGATAGACCACCCAGATGATAAAGCTAGAGATAGAAGGAGTCTTACAGTCGTAGGCTTTACCACTGGACTAAAAGTGTCGAAGAAGTCCTGACCTGGAACCTGATTAAAACCTTTCGCAACCAGCCTGGCTTTATGCCTTTCAATAGCACCATCAGCCTTTCTCTTCGTACGAAACACCCATTTACAGCCAATAATATTCATACCTGCAGTGGGTGAAACTAGAGACCATGTGTGGTTATGCAGGAGAGCATTGAATTCTTGGTCCATGGCTTCACGCCACTCAGGATATTTGACAGCTTGAGAGTAACATGTGGGTTCCGTGGGATGCACTTGAGCTGCTAGAGCAAAAAGAGGAGCATCTGCGTTGCTGCGAGTGGCCAAAGAGTGAGTACGAACATTGGGCCTGATGGACCGCCCACGTGGACGGCCTCGCCGGCGAGCAACAGGCTCCACAGGATCACCCGACGAGGCAGCCTGTCCGGGATCCACGGCTGGTTCGAATGAAGCAGGTAGCGGCGGTTCTGGCAGCTCATCATTAGACACGGCAGGAATAGGTGTGCTGTGACTGAGAACAGATTCCGCCCAAGGTCCAGAAAACGGAGTAGATAGATCCTGTAAAGAAATTTTAGTAGCAAAGGGGAAAACTTCTTCATCAAATCTGACATGCCTGCATGTGTAAATCTTATTAGTATGTAAGTCCATGCATCTGTACCCCCTAAAGGACTCAGGATAACCTAGGAAGACACATGGAGAAGACCTGTATGACATCTTATGACGATTATATGGCCGAAGATGAGGGTAGCATAAACACCCAAAGACACGAAGAAAAAGATAGGAAGGAGGGGATTTATGTAACAGGAGATGAGGACTGGAGTTATTTAATACAGAAGATGGCATTCTGTTAATTAAATAGACAGCAGTCTCAAAGGCAAAATCCCAAAATTTCAAAGGAACAGAGGCATGAGCTAGAAGAGCCAGACCAGTTTCAACAATGTGACGATGTTTTCGTTCAACACGACCATTCTGTTCATGTGTATAGGCACAGGATTGTCTATGTTGAATTCCTAATTGAACAAACAAAGAATGCAACTTTTTGTACTCAGCACCTAAATCAGACTGAATGGCCTTTATTTTGCAATTAAAGGACCGTTCAACAAGAGTACGAAATTTATCAAAGATGACATAAAGATCAGACTTTAATTTCATAGGGAAGAACCATGTATAACGGGAATAGTCATCCACAAAGATCACAAAATGACGGAAGCCAGAAGTAGATAAAGTGGGCGCAGGACCCCAAATGTCTGTGTAAATAAGATCTAGGACTTGAGAACTAGAGGAAGCAACACGGGGGAGGGGAAAACGGGCATATTTGCCTAATTGACACGCATTGCATAAAGAATTATGACAACGAATATTATCACGAGACCCACTAACCAAACAAGAACGAAGTATATGGGTAAGAACACGGTTATGAGGATGACCCAGACGATTGTGCCAAGTGGAAGCCGAGGCACGAGCAGAAATAAACGCTGACGGAGACGAACTAGGTAATGAAAGTGTGTATAGTCCCCCTGAACTATTGCCCCGAAGAAGTATTTCCTTGGTATTGATATCTTTCACAACAAAAAAGGAGGGGTGAAACTCAAAAAAGACTTTATTATCGGATGCAAACTTCTGAACAGATAATAAAGAATTAGACAAACGCGGAACGTGAAGTATATCAGACAATGTAAATGATCTAGAAGGGGTATTAAAAGAGGCATGGCCAACATGACTAATAGATAAACCCATACCGTCACCGACACGTAAAGTGTCATTACCAGTGTACTTCTCCGTTGTAGAAAGGGCAGCGATGTTCGGAGTTGCATGATTTGTGGCTCCAGTGTTCGGAACCCAAGTATGAGAATTTGACGAGGTTTTAGCAACTAAACCATTCTGAAACACCAAATTAGCCTGAGAACCCGGAGCCCCTGAATATCGCCGAAAACAGTTGACTCCCGTGTGACTGAAACTTTTGCAAATTTGACACGGATCATTATAGCGCCAAAAACAATTGGCTCCCGTGTGACCAAAACGTTTACAAATTTGACACGGATCATCATAGCGCCAAAAACAATTGGCTCCCGTGTGACCAAAACGTTTACAAATTTGACACGGATCATCATAGCGCCAAAAACAATTGACTCCTGTGTGGCCGAAACCTTTACAGATTTGACACGGATCATCGAAGCCACGTTGCTGACCTCCACGGTAATTAAGGTTGCCATCGCAGCGCTGCATCTTCTTGATTTTATGAATCACAAAACCCTAGCTAACTGATACCAGATGAGAACTGATTGTATTATATTTTCTGAACTTGATTACAATGAGATCAGATGATGTGAATATATAGAATAGAGAGTCACAGTGTGACAATGATAAGAAGTAGAGAGTCACAGTGTGACAAGGATAAGAAGTTCTAAACAGACTCATATACATAGAGTCCTAATAGCCATAGTTCATGTTTGGGGATTTGAATTTGGGTTTGGCTCTTCCGATGTAAAAGTGTACAATCTAGTGTTGAGTCTAATTTGGCAATTTATATCGTGCACCAGGACGCACAGTCACGGCTAGAAATTATGGAATTCCCGACCACCTGAAAGTGATCTTAAATCAAGTTGAAAGCAAAAAGTGATCGGAAATAGCAATAAAGGTTTTTCCGGATACCAAAAGTGGTCGGAACAAGGCTTTCGACTTGGTTTAAGATCATTTTCAGGTGGTCGGAAATTTCATAATTTCCAGTGAGTCCATTGTGCCCCTGGTGCAAAACGACATCGTTTTGTACTCTTTTTTTTTTTTTTTTTTTTTTTTTTTTTTTTTTTATAGAAAATTCCACTTTTCGTGTCGGACGTTAACTTCTTAAAAAAATCTCATGTTTCAAAAATGTACATAATTGTATAATAGAATGTACATATATAATTGTATAACAGAATGTACATATATAATTGTATAACAGAATACACATACTCTTTTTTGAAAAGATAATACACATAATCTAACATAATACATAATACACATAAACTCTTAACATAATAAACACAATCTTTACACTCTTAAAAAAAATGCATTGTTTCGGATGTACATAATTGTATAAAAAAATGTACATGATTGTATAACATAATGTACATAATTGTATAACATAATGTGCATAATTATATAATAGAATACACATACACTCTGTCGCGTCAACTCACCACACAACTTAACAAAACTACGTCGTTTTGGGAGGCGCGGGGCGCACATGGTGCACGGTATAACGATTGGTCTAATTTTGATTGGGCTCTTTGTGCACAAAAATATACATTTTAATATTCAGTCTCAAAACTATATTGATTCTATTTACTTCCTCATAGGCCAATAGGTGGGTTCAAGATATAGTCATCGGGAAACTTGGGTTATCAAAAATAAATAAATAAAAAAGTAAAACTCATGTCACATGATTTTATTGGTATAAGATAATAAAGAGAATAATAATAAAAACGGTGACCCACTATTTTTTTTTCAAATAAATCAGAACAGACTAGTACAAAAAATACTCCGTAAATAGAAACTCAGAGTATATGCATATTATTATTCTTTAGGAAATAAAATGTGGGTATATTTATATTATTATTCTTTAGGAAATAAAATTGTGTCTATATATTAACTTATTAACTGAAGACACATTATATATTAACTACAGACACATAATTTTTGAATCAGAGTCCACAATGCAAGGTATAGCCTAGTCCATGGTATAACATTGCAATAAGTTTTGAAGAGGTTATGGAATAACAAGTCCAGAACTAGTGGTGACTTTGGGCAGGTTTTACAAGTCTAAGGCATGTTAACATATACTCAACTGAATATAAGAGCATCTCTATTGATAACAAAAATTGGATTCTTTTGTTAATATATATATATATATATATATATATATATATATATATATATATATATATATATATATATATATATATATAGGAATGAGTTCACATGCAAAGAGTCTCCCAGGTGAAAGATGGGGTGAAAGGTTGAAGCTAAGGGTTCATTAAGTTCAGAATGGTTGGACCACATGGATAAGGTCTGGGAGAGCTATGTAAAGTGCCAGATTTAAGGGATTAGGCTAAGGAGCAAAATTGAGGGGTTGAGAGCACAAGGACTTAAGGGATGTGTTATAAAGTGCATAATATATATATATGATATATACCCAGATCATATTTGTGCAGTGCCAAACCAAAGACACTCTCCCAGTCGATACCAATTTCATTTTTTCATTTAAGAAGTTTGACATTTTTTTTTTTGGTTTTATTGATTTGAATTTTTTTTAAGGTGTTGAAACTCATGATCGAAGCAGAAGTGATAGGAGGAGATCAGAACTTCATTGATTATTGGTGGAAGAAAATCAGTTGAATATACAGCAAGAAAGGCTTATATACAGAGGATAAAAGCGGGAAGTGATAGTTCTACGGTTATAACCGTCTAGGGGAGGAAGATAGACCAAAACACCCTTAACTACCCTTAGCTGATGGCTGCAATGTTGACTGGCTGCAATGTTGACTGTCCAGACTTGGATTGTTATTCTTCAACACCCCCCCGTAAGCTGGAGCATGCAAGTCTTGTGTGCCCAGCTTAGAGGTGAATAGCTGGTATTAAGCAGTGGGTAAAGGCTTGGTGAATCCATCTGCAACCTGCCCTGAGGATGGAACGTATAGCAACTTAACTAGGCCTTGTGTTACTCTTTCACGGACAACGTGACAATCGATTTCTATGTGTTTCGTTCTCTCGTGAAACACATGATTTTCGGAGATGGCAATGGCTGCTTTGTTGTCACAAAAGAGTGCTGCTGGTTTGTCTATTTCAACTTGGAGATCGCGCAATAAGGACTTAATCCATTGTACTTCACAAACAGTTGTAGCAAGGGCACGATACTCCGCTTCGGAAGATGATCTAGAGACCGTAGCCTGCTTCTTCGATCTCCAGGAGATGAGTGCTGATCCAAGGAACACACAAAAGCCAGTGATGGATTTTCGTGTCTCCGCACAAGTCGCCCAATCCGAGTCAGAGAAAACTGTGAGCTGCATATTCCCGTTCTTTGGGTAGTGTAATCCCTGACCTGGAGCACTTTTGAGATAGCGTAGAAGACGATGAGCAGCGGACATATGTGCCTCAGTAGGAGCATCAACAAATTGGCTTAGTTGTTGAACTATATAAGCAATGTCCGGGCGAGTTGCGATTAGGTATAATAACCTGCCTATTAAACGTCTGTAGCTGCCAATATCACCAAGACTAGGACTATCATCATGTGTGAGATGTTGATTTTGTATCATTGGCGTGCTCACAGGCTTACTGTGAGTGAACCCTGACTCTTCAAGAATATCCAGAGCATATTTGCGCTGGCATATGTTGAGACCATTTTCTGTTAACTGTGCCTCTATTCCAAGGAAATAGCCCAAGCTGCCTAAGTCTTTAATCTTGAATACACTGTCCAGAAAAACCTTGAGCTCGTGAATTAAAGACATGTTAGCACTGGTAACAATAATGTCATCCACGTAAACTAGGAGGGCAATGAAGCTAGCATCATGTCCTCTTGTAAATAGGGATGGATCGGCCTTAGACTGCTGGAATCCCTCCTTTGTTAAGGCAGTAGTGAGCTTCGCATTCCACTGCCGGCTAGCCTGCTTGAGCCCGTAGAGAGAACGAAGAAGTTTGCATACTTGGTTTGGTTTGTCCCCTTGAAAGCCCGGAGGCAACAGCATATAGACTTCTTCGTCCAAATCACCGTGCAAGAAAGCGTTATTAATGTCGAGCTATTGGATATGCCAACTCCGGGATGCAGCCACAGCTAGAAAAGAACGAATGGTAGTCATTCTTTCTACAGGGGAGAAGGTTTCTATATAATCAACCCCCAGTTGTTGAGTGAAACCTTTGGCGACCAATCTTGCCTTGTAACGTTCTATGGATCCATCCGCTTTCAGCTTGACCTTATACACCCACTTGCAACCTATGGGCTTTTTCCCGGGAGGCAAATCTGTAAGTTCCCATGTTTGATTTTCCTGTAGAGCCTTTATCTCAGCATTCATGGCATCTTTCCAACAAGCAGATTGTATGGCCTGATTGTAGCTTTGAGGCTCTACAGCCGAAGTAACAGCCATTGAAAAAATCTTGTGAGGTAGAGCAAGATTGTTATATGAGATAACCTTAGAGAGAAGGTGAGGAGAAGAGCCTCTGATCATGGCAGCTTGGCAATAGTAGTCTTGGAGTTTGCTTGGTGCACGTCTGATTCTGGATGACTGTCTAATTTGGAGTGTGGGAACAGCCGTGTCATCAGACCTCTGTTGTGTTAAAGTATCATCATTGTTACACTCTACATGTGGAGGGGTGGTATCCAAGCATGGAGGCAGACTATTATCCATGGGATTCTTCTGCCAAGGATGTGCATTATCCACTGGAGTCTGTTGTAAGTGAGAGCTGTTATCCATGGGATGCTGCTGCTCATTAGGACTCTTGTCCATGGGATATTGGTGACTCTTATTCATGGAATATTGTCCCTGGCCACTCTGCATGTTGTCATCTATTGGAACAAGAGGAAGGGACGGCTGGCATTGATATTGTGGCACATCAGGATGATCAATATGGACTGCAAAAGGAAACTCACTTTCATAAAAAATAACATCACGAGATATGAAAGTCGTGCTTTCACCAATATCATACAACAAGTATCCTTTCACATCTGCCGGTATCCCAATGAATAAACACTTCCGAGCCCGTGGAGCCATCTTGTGTCTAGAATTAGATAAAGTGGCTGCATAACAGAGGCAGCCGAACACCTTGAACCTGCTCATGTCCGGATTAACCCCATAAAGCCTCTGAAAGGGATTAGAACCCGCAATGATAGGGGAGGGGAGCCGGTTGATTATATATACGGCATGCATGACGCAATGCCCCCAAAATTCAAGTGGGAGATGAGCTTGAAACCGGAGGGCTCTTGCAACATTGAGAATGTGTTGGTGTTTACGCTCAACAATAGCGTTTTGTTGTGGAGTATTGACACAAGATCTTTGGTGTATGATGCCCTTTTCTCTGAAAAAATCTGCCATCTGAAATTCTGAACCATTATCACTACGGATAGCTTTGATTAGGGACCCAAACTGCGTACAAACATAGGTGTGAAAATACTTTATAAACTGTTTAGCTTCAGATTTATTTCTCATCAGACGCAGCCAAGTAAAACGGGAATAGTCATCAACCAAAGTGAGAAAATAACGTTCCCCTTTTTGGGAACAAACGGGAAAGGGGCCCCATATATCTATGTGCAGAAGCTCAAAGCAAGTAGTTGAAGCAGTAGTACTTATAGGAAATGAAGCACGTTTCTGTTTTGCTAGGTGACATACATCACATGCCACACTTTTATTACTATAGACATGAACATTGTTTAGGAGGTGGAATTTATTGATTGGGAAATGCCCTAATCTTTGGTGCCAAACCTCACTACTAGTACATTGTAAAGCAAAATTTTTGACAGGCAAACTGGGCGGCTGCATCAACATGTATAATCCCATTTCCTGTCTAGCTATACCAGCCACTGTTCCATGAATCCCCTGAATAACACATTCATCAGACATGAACATTAGTTTGTATGGAGTATCCTGAAGAAGCTTGCTCACTGATATGATATTGAACTGAAAGGTAGGAATATGCAAGGCCCCTTTTAGCCACAAATCATCATTAAGCTTGACATCTCCTATGTTTTCAACAGGGATGCATTTTCCGGTTGGTAAGCTCACTTCTGTTCTGACAGCAACTCGATGACTAACAAGATGATCCAGGGAACAAACAATATGATTGGTAGCTCCTGAATCAAGAATCCAACAAGAAGAATTTATCAAGATAGAGTTAATATGAGGCATGGATTGCTTGCCTTCATCTGCTGACTGCACTTCACTGAAGTTGGGGATTAATGATACTGCTGCTGTGGTGTTGGGACTAGAAGATTGTCCAACCTGCGTTTGGAGAAGGGAAATAATCCTTTGTAACTGCTCAGAATCTATAGCCATATTCCCTGTATTGTTAGTCGCAGCAGCAGCAAATTGTTGTTGTTTTCCCTTGGATTTGAAGCCCGGCACCCATCCCGGAGGGTAGCCGTGCTTCTTGTAGCACCTATCAACGGTGTGCCCAGTCATCCCACAAAATGTGCACTTAGCACTCTTATTTCCCCCGTTACCTCGTCTGTTAAAATTGGAATTGGAATTGTTCACAGCAGCAGCAATGGTATTTTCAGACACAGAGCCTTGACTATTCTGAACAACATTAACCTGATTGATTTCCAGACTGTCTAGATTCAAACTTGCTAGATTAATTTGCCTTTCAAGCTTTTCGGCCATTACAAATACTTTATAAACCTCTGGTAGAGGATCAAGAACAAGGATATTTGATTTTAGACTATTGAAGTCTTCATTTAGACCTTGAAGGAAACGGATGACCTGATCCACATCCCGTTCATTTCTGATTTCATCAACTAAGTCACAAGCACAAGCACATCTAGGTATGCATTTACAGACAGGTAATGGCCTCAAGGTATTCAGTTCCTCCCACAATATGCGGCATTTAGTGTAGTAGTCATTAACGGAGAGGTTACCTTGTTTCAATCCGTAGATTTCGTTTTGAACGCTGGATATTCGCTGGGCATCTCGCTGTGAGAATCTCCGTTTCAGATCGTTCCAGACCTCCATAGCTTTGTCTAAATGCATAACACTTTGCGCAATTGACGGATGTACCGACTTGAAAATCCACGAGCATATCATCAGATTGCATCGACGCCATGCCGGAAACAATCGATGGTCTCTCTCTGGTGCTAAGGCGCTTCCATCTACGAAGCACCACTTGTTTTTCACCTCTAATGCGATGCGCATAGAGATACTCCACGAACCATAATTGGAGCTTCCTGTTAGGGGGGGGGGGGGGGGGCTAACGAGAATCGCGGACGGATGATCGGAAGAGCTGATCGTCAGAGGATTCTCCGACTCCTCCAGGTTGAGGCTTCTCGGCGCTTGAGATGACAGATTCCTCTGCGGATTCTGTGAACGCGTCGTTGGTGAAGCTCGGACGGGAGACTGAGTCGTAGGGGACGCGGTATGCATCGTCTGAACTGTTTCTCCGGCAGCGGAGACCGCGGCGGCATAAGAGCGCCGCTCTGATACCATGTTGAAACTCATGATTGAAGCAGAAGTGATAGGAGGAGATCAGAACTTCATTGATTATTGGTGGAAGAAAATCAGTTGAATATACAGCAAGAAAGGCTTATATACAGAGGATAAAAGCGGGAAGGGATAGTTCTACGGTTATAACCGTCTAGGGGAGGAAGATAGACCAAAACACCCTTAACTACCCTTAGCTGATGGCTGCAATGTTGACTGGCTGCAATGTTGACTGTCCAGACTTGGATTGTTATTCTTCAACATAAGGAGACTTAGATGAGTATGAAATTTGAATGTGTCTCACAACAAAGAAAAATTAGGAGGTATTTTGAGTTTGAGACCAATAATAGAGTCAAGAGATAATAGAATTAAGTATATCCACCAAAAAGAATAATTCAATGTAAAATATAGTACATCAATTTTTTTACACGACTAGTTGACTAGCTCTCAAGAAAAGCAAATACAATAGCTACACTAATAAAAAAGATAAATGAAATAGCAATTAAAGCAAATTAAAAAGAGTGAATTGGAAAGCAAAAGTCACGCTTTTAATCCTCTAAGGGGGTGAGAATGACTTAAGGGATGGATTATAAATTGCATAAAGGGAGAAAATATGGAAGAAAAAAGTGAGAATGCAAGGACTTTAGGTGTAAAGTGCGAGAATGCATACAATCTAAAGTCTCAAGGTACAAAGACTAATAAGGGGATGAAAATGAGTAATTTGGCAAGTCAAGGCGGTGGGGGTGCCCTTTGGCCCCGCCTGGACATTAGGGACGTCAACCGACACCCCTGCCTGCACCCATACGGGGTTCAATTGGGGATGGGGCGGTTAGCAGCTGCCAAGTCGTTAATTTAACGCTCGATGGTGTGAGTGATGGCTTGGCAATAGGATAGGCTCGTGTATGGTCCAAAGTTTCCCTATTTTTTCAGCTATCATGCATCGGCCCTTAGAGTATTATAAATAGGGGTCTCAAGCTCGTTTTAGACGTCAAATTATGCTGTGCATCCGTGTGCACCATGCAAACGATGTCGTTTTGACTAAAAACGCGCGTCCAACTTTAAAAAAAATATATTCAGTTTCAATTCTCGTCAACAACATTATGTTGTGCATAATTTCTGAATGTATAGTTTTAAAATTATGGATGTATAGTTATGCAATTCTGGATTTATAGTTCTGGATGTGTAGTTATGCAAATTCTGGATGTATAGTAATGAAGTTATGGATGTGTAGTTATGCAATTCTGGATGTATAGTTATGAAATTATGGATGTGTAGTTATGTAATTCTGAATTAATTTTTTTTTAAGTCCACGTCAAAACGACGCTGATTTTGCATCCGTGTGCACCATGCATGGTGCACATGGATGCACAGCATAACGACTCGTTTTAGACATCACCAAGCAGTTTGTCTTGAAAAAACTTGTATCAGACTCGATCTTTTAGTCCAACAATTTAATATTAATTTATTACAGACTAAGGGTTTGTTTGGAAAACAGGAAAATGACCTCAGGAAAATGTTTTTCGAAAAATGATTCATTTTTATTTTTCAAAAAATATTTTCTTTTCCGGTGTTTGGCTGCAACAACAGTAAACTGTCTTGTGTGTTTTGTTCATTTTGCAGAAAATGAGCAAAATTGTATACTTCACCATTTTGATTGTTATAATGCGAAGAGAGATTTAACTTGTCTAGGACTATATAATCTTCAAATCTATTTTTTAAAAAAAAAAATCCAAACAATAAATTTATTTATTTATTTTTTTAAAGTGGACTGGTTTCCCAAGCCGGAAACCAAACCAGACCACTGGTTTGGTTTCTGATTTGGAAAACCAGATCTGTGGGTTTCCAAGTCGAAAATCAATACGTTTCCGGCTGTGGGTACGCCGGAAATCGTTTTCGATGGTCGAGAAATTGGCGTTGTTGAATGTCGCGAAGAAGAAGGTTTCTGTAGTCTAGAAGGAAGCTGTGTTGGTGGTGTATGGCCTCTGTGCGAAGAAGAGAAGCGGAAAATGACTTCTCCTATAAAAAAAAAAAAAAAAAAAAAAAAAGGAAGTCATTTTCCGTAAAAATGACTCATTTTTTCATTGACCAAGCTTCATTTTACATTGACTTTAGTATTTTCCTCATTGTCAAACACTAAAAACACAGAAAATGATTTCCAAAAATCATTTTCTGGATTTTCAAACACACCCTAAAAGAACACTTGCGACTTAATGTCTTATTTATTTAATTCTCCTATTCATTGCGTAAAATACTCTTGATTACCCAAATAAAATTATAACCAAGGGTAAAAAATGTCCTCGCCGGAATCCTCTGTCCCCTCCAAGCAACGGTCGACGAAGGACCAAGATTTGCTCGAAAGGAGCACAAAGAAAACAAAGAGAGCGGTGGCAATGAGTGGCCCTAGTGACGACATGGAAGGAGTCGAGATGGAATCTCCGATCGAGACCTTTTGTGGCGAAGGCAACACCATGATCGCAGATGATCAGGAGGCTGTGCCAAAAACCCAGCCAAATCCTGCTACTGAAACCAATGCGTCGTACATGGCCACCTTGATAGGAGCCCATGACTGCAATGCCATGAGCAAGAAGGAACTGGAGATCGCTTCTGATGACGAAGAAGAAGATAAGAAAAATGAGACGTAGAGTTGGATATGCCTACCTTCTCAAATGACTAAACACCATTTGGCACCCCAAGTTCAAGATGGAGTTGATAGCTAGCCCTGGACAATGACTATTTCTTGTTTAAGTTTGTCTCTGAATATAGAGTTTCTTTAATTGTGAATATATATAGTTATGAAATTGTGAATATAAAGTTCTATATAATTGTGAATATAGAGTTCTAAAATTGTGAATATTGAGTTCTGCAATTTTGTATATTGAGATCTAAAATTATGAATATTTAGTTCTAAAATTGTGAATATAGAGTTTTAAAATTATAAATATAGAGTTAAAAATTTGTTAATATTGAGTTCAAAAATTGTTAATATTGAGTTCTATAATTTTGTATATTGAGATCTAAAATTGTGTATATTCAATTCAAAAATTGTGAATATAGAATTCAAAAATTGTGAATATAACTAATGTCCACATTGCAAGGTGGACCTGGGTCCACAACATAATTTTCTGGTGGCAAGGCCAACCAACCTACTATAGCCCGCTAAGAGCATCCACACTAGAGGTGAATGACAAGTTAATAGCTGATGTGGTTGTGAGTTATTTAAAAAATAATCCCACTACAAACAACCAAATAATGTCATAAAACTGATGGGTCCATAATAATTAAAATAGATAAAAGAAATAATTAAAATATAGTGGGTTAAATAGTGGGTCCACAAAAAAAACGGAGAAAAAAATTTAAAACTGATGTGGAGAAGAGTTTTTTGCGATTGAGTGAGATAATGGAGGATGAGGTGGATGTTGGGCCCACAAATAACTCATAAAAAATCCCAACTGATAAGGTTGCTCTAAGAGCATCCACAATGGTGGAGTTATTGTAAGAGTAATTAGGAAAGAGAAGATGAGAGAGGAGAGAAAAAAAGAAAAAAAAAACCAAAATTGATTTTTGTTAAAATAATAATATATTTTTTTGGAAAATTTTATGATGCTTCATTAAAAGTAGGCCGAAATAACATCCGGTGGGAGCAGATCGCAATACATAATTGCAGTTTGCTGATAAGCCGTAGTAGCTAAAACATGAGCTAAATGATTCTCTACTCTAAGAATAAAATGAAACGAACAAGACTTAAACGAAGATGCAATAAGCCTGCAAGTGTCAATGGCATAGCCTAGATATGTGCGCAGCACAATAGTTGGTGTAGTAAGATAGTGATGTAGTGTCAGGCAGTCCGTATAAACCTCAACATTCTGCTCACCCCGATCCTTCAACCATGATAGAGCCTCTTTACATGCGAGCACCTCTGCCATAAGTGGTGAGGAGCATCCTTGTAGTGGTCCACTGAATGCCGAAACATATCCCCCGTCCGTGTCTAGTAAGAGTACCCCCAAAGCAGCTTGTCCTGTCTCCTGCAAATACCCCCCGTCCACACGGCATATGCGCCTTGGCGGTCCAGGTGGCTCGGCAGCGTAGGAATCTGGCGCATGGAGGTTGGCGTTCCCTTGCAACGGATTTGGCATGGCTAGGAGCGTGGTGGGCGGTGCCGTGGGCTGCTGTGGGTGCGCCCGAGTCCAAGCCAGCTTGGCAGCAGCGGCTATTTTGAGGACCACTTCCGGTCGTGGTAATGTTGAGGACCACTTCCGGTCATGGTAATGTTGCTTCCCATACGACCCTGTTCCTTGCTCTCCATATATTGTAAAGTATTGCTACTGCATAGAATATCCCGTCAGAGTCTAGAGCATTTAGAAGTTCATCAAACCAAACATAAAAAATATTTGTGATTATATTTGAAATTGTGAGGTTAGATTTATCCCAAATGTTCCTTGCAAAATCACACAACACCAAAGCATGCATTGTGTCTTCTTGAGATAATCCACACATGGCACATCGTGGATCCACATCCACCCTCTTTATAAGCAAGTTTGTAGTAATAGGCAATATATCACTAATGGCTCTCCATAGAAACATTCTCCATTTTGGGGGGATTTTTAATTTCCATAGGGATAATCATTTTGTAAATACCCCATTAGTATGTTGATAATTTCCCATTACTTGCTTATATCCACTTTTAACCGTGTACTCTCCTCTTAAATCCCCATGCCAGTACCAAGTATCATCATACTCCGGGGAGATGGGTATTTTCATAATTTCCGCCACATCACTGGGTTGAAATAAATCAGTTAAGATTGAGGGATCCCAGACACCAGTTTGCTGGTCTATCAAACCTGCCACCTTGGCTTCCTTCAACTGTATTGGCATTTCTGTTTGTATCATTGGGTCATGGTCATTTCGTAGCCAAGGATGGGTCTATATGAATGTAGATTCCCCATTACCAATTCTGCGCCTGACCCCACCACAAATAATACTCTTTGCTGCCATGATGCTCCGCCAGCAGAAACTGGGATTATTTCCCACCTGTGCATCAAAGAAAGATCCTTTCGGAAAATACCGGGCCTTATACACACGTGCTACTAGAGAGTCAGGCTTAGTCAACATTCTCCACGCCTGCTTTCCTAGCATTGCTAGATTAAATGCTCGCAAATCTTTAAATCCTAGCCCACCATATTTCTTTGGTACACATAACTTATCTCATGTCTTCCAGTGTATTCGCCTGTCAGTTCCAGAATCCCACCAGTAACAATTCATCGTCCTTTCTATCGTCGTACACACTGATACAGGTAACAAGAAAACACTCATTGAAAACGTAGGCATAGATTGTGCTACAGTTTTCAAAAGAATTTCTTTCCCTGCCTGTATTTTGTCTTCCACATACGCAAAAACTGCTTTCTTGTGCCTTCCAATAAAAGAGGGGAGTCCCAAATACTTGCCATAATTCGGTGCCTGTGCCACACCCAAAATTTGAGCCACATTTTTTCTATCCTCATCACTAGTATTTCTGCTATAGCATATGCTTGACTTGTGATAATTTACTGCCTGCCCGGATAAATTCTCATAAACAGATAGACACCTTTTAACCTCAGTTGCTTCCTCCGCCTTGGTCTTAAAAAACAGTAGACTATCATCTGCAAAAAATAAGTGAGAAATCGGGGGGCTCCTCTTGCTACCCTGCAGCCATGTATCGATCCCACATTATGTGCCTGCTGCAACATCAAAGATAGACCCTCTGCACAAATAATAAATAGATATGGGGACAAAGGATCCCCTTGCCTTATTCCACGAGTGGGTATAATATGATCACATCTTAATACATTCACCTGAATATTATATGAGACAGAGGTTACACACTTCATAATCAACTCCACCCAACCAGCATGAAATCCCAGTGCCAACATCATCCTTCGTAAGAAGGGTCATTCAACCCGATCATATGCCTTCGCCATGTCTAATTTAAGGGCACTCCATCCCCCCACTCCACATTGTTTCCTATTCAAGAAATGCCCCACCTCTGCAGCTAATAGTATATTATCCGTTATCAATCTATCCGGGATAAATGCGCTTTGTGACTCAGATATTACTCCTTCCCTTAACGGCTTCATTCTATTAGCCAACATTTTTGCCATAACTCTATAGACCACATTACTGAGGGCTATAGGCCGCAAATCAGTGACATACTTCGGGGTTTTCTTCTTAGGGATTAGAATAATATCAGTCTCAGTCAACCCAGGCGGAAAATCACAGGACTCAACACAATTAATTATAAAGCTCGCCACATCACCCCCAACCACATCCCAAAAATGTTGGTAAAAGCCTGGATTCATTCCATCCGGGCCTGGTGCCTTGTTCGGAAACATAGCAAACAGTGCACTCTTAACCTCATCCAGTTCAAATGAACGCATCAAAGACTCATTTTGTGCCTGCGTGATTCGCGGGACAATTCCCTCAAAGAAATCCTCCCCAGTTCCCGGGGTTCCAGCAGAGAAAATACGATTATAATAATGCAGGATAATATTTTTCACAGGCTCCCCCTCAAGCCAATCCCCATTATCATTCATCAATCTAGAAATAGTATTCTTCTTTTTTCGGTGAGAGGCATACATGTGGAAACACTTTATATTAGCGTCTGCCTCCTTAAGCCAGTGTTGCTTGGCTCTCTGTCTCCAGTATGCATCCTCCTGAGCTTCTGTACAGCTTAACAGCTGTTCTAGGCGCTGAAACTCAGCCAGGGAGGTCGGGTCAGTACGCCTCCTCAAACGCTGCTGTTCTCTTGTCAGTTCATTAATCCGTTTTCCGTACTTATGATACCGGTCTCCACCCCATCGTGTTAACCGGGTCCCACAATACTGAATACAGTTCTGTAAACCCTGGCCCCTCCCACTACAAAAAAACACGGGAATAGCGACGGATGAATTCCGTCGCTAAATAGTGAAAATCCGTCGCTAAAGTGTTTAGCGACGGATTAGCAACGGAATTCGTCCGTCACAAAAACCCTCGTCGCTAGAATCTAGCGACACAATTTATTTCCGTCGCTAACTTTAGCGACGGAATTTTCCGTCGCAAAATTAAAAATATTCGTTTCTAAATTTCTTACGACGACGGATTTGAAGACAAAATTTGTGAGCGAATAACGACGAAATTTCTGTCGCTATATCTAGCGACGGAAATTCCGTCGCTAAAACAACAAAATATCCGTCGTTAATTTCATAGTACAACGATCTGGCGACGAGATTTGCAACGGCATAGCGACGGAGTTTTCCGTCACTAAACACACCCGGACATTTCCGTCGCTAGTGTCCGTCATTACACGTAATACAGCGACAGACATTTCTGTCGCTAGTGTCCGTCGTTACTACAGATTTTTCCGTCGCTATTTCGTTGCCTTACTACAATATTTGTCCGTTGCTAAATTCTAAAAACTAATAAAATAAATGTACCCAGCAATTAATATCACAAACCTGCATTAAGCCTATAATATAGTACTTGAATAATATAATTGTAAAATATATTATATTAAAGCATTCAAACTCAATTACAATAACAAAAGTATAGCAGTATAATGTTACATCGTTAGAAACAATACCAAATATATTAATAAACATAATCTAATCATCTCCTAAATTTTCATCATTTGAATTAGCAGAATTTTCAGCTTGAGTACTTGGAGTGGATAGCATGCCGTTTGCGACGCAAGTGATCCATCAAACTTGCAATCTGAACTTGCATTTGAGCATGAATCTAAGCTTGCATTTGAGCCTGCATTTAGGCCTCTGCATTTAAGTTCTTTCAGCTTGTAGTTTAGCTTCCATCCGAGCCTCCATCTCAACTCGGAGGTGCAGACGATGATGGGTTAGAACTCGGAGGTGTAATCGATGCACCTCGTCCAAGTCCTCTTATGCGTCCAGCTCTACTACCACCTCGTGTCATCTAAAATAAAATATAATAAAGTTAAGCTATCAACAAGTTGTGTATAAATCAACAATTGGGTTTCAAAATGAATAAATTAAAGATAGAAAAACTAATCAAATATTGTTTAGTAAGTAGTGATGACTACTTGTGCAGCTTCAAGGTTAAAGGTTCTTTCTACATATTCAATTTTGCTTTGTTTCATATGCTGTTTGGTAAGGAATTATTAAAGTACACAAGGTTCCAAGTGCAAATAAATTAGAAGGGAAAGCTGAAAAATAACCTAAAATGCTTTTTTAAAAGTCAAAAGCAGTACAGAATTAATGTTTTTAAGCTGCAAAAATAACCTGAAATCTTTTACATTAAACTGTGGCATCTTAAACAATTAATGATTTTTAAAAGGTCAAAATCTTCAGATATAAAAGAAACCGCCAGTACAATCCTAAAACTTTGAGAATAAAAACATGAATGAACAAAAAGGGATTTTGACAAAATTAATGTAATGATCAGTGAATAATCAAAATTAGTGAACCTGTTTTACATATAAAAAAAATCAATGAACCAAAAAAAACTGTGGCATCCTAACCAACAGAAACAGGTGAATAATCAAAATCAGTGAACCAAAAAAAAAAAAAAAAACAAGAACTTTAGTAGTATTTAAGCAATAATCCCAATCAATTATTCCTTTTTTCATTAATATCTAAAAGTGGCATGTACCTAATGTTTTCTTGCTTATTTACAAACTGTGACTACAGGAAAGAGCAAGCTGAGACTGATTCTAATCACTGGTTCTAATCACAAATAGCTAATGTGCTTATTTTGGTTAGAGTATACATGGTTTAGAAAAATTAACATGAGACATGCAAATAACCCTAAAATATAATGCCATTCTCTTTGAGTTTAGAAAAATAAGCTAATACATGTGTTTATTTTGGTTGGAGTATACATGGTTTAGAAAAATTAACAATACATGTGTTTATATCCTGAGTTTAGAAAAATTAGCAAAACTTTCATTCTCTTTGATGATATTGGTATTTTGGTAACCTTTTTTCTTAGTCTTCTTAGGCTAAAATCAGTTTATACATAAATCAAGAAAACACCCAAAATTCTGCATTCCCACAAACAAAATGTACACAGAAACATGAAAAATGAAAACAGAAACATGAAAAGAAAATAGGAAATTCACAGTGAATTAGTATGTTGTGAATGTAGGTAAAAATTTTGAGTTTTGATCTCCTTCTCTATTATTGTTAATATATATATTTACCTTTGATATTAAAAAAAGTAAAACAAAACAGTTATTGAATTGCCTTGTACAAAAAATCCATTGACTTGTCAATTTCTTCTTTGAATATGAGTTACATAGTTCTTCAATAATGCTGGTTTTGAGGAATAAGGATTACTTCATTATTATCAAAGAATGTGGATAATATATACACTTGTTTAGTATATGAGTGCTCCTTTGGTGATAGTTGTACTTAATGTTTAGTAAACATAAATGGTCGCAATCTTGTCTGTTGAACCACTACTTACCCCCTTTGTTTATACCGTACCTATCATACATACATATATTTTGGCTTCATTCAGCAACCTCAAGCATGCAATTAACACATACAGTGAATACAAACAGATTAACAAATTAACACAACCTTATCTCAGCAGATTAACAGTGAATGCACACAAATACAGAAACGCATAAACACTCAAATCAACGCATAAACACACATACAGAAACACAAACACTCGCTGCCAACCACAAACACTCAACTCAAAAAATTCAATAAGCACAAAATACAAGCCATAAACGAATACATACCAGAGAATAGAGTAGCAGAGTAGGCGGCAGGGGAAGCGACGGTCGGCGGAGAAGCAGCGCCGTCGGCGATGGGCGTCAGGGTAGGCAGCGCAGTCGTCGTCGGAGGCAGCGCAGTCTAGATAGGGAAGAGAGACGCGAGTCGGAGAAGAAGAAAGAAGTCTAGTTAGGGTTAGGAGAAAATGTTCAGCTTTGTTCGTTTTAGTGAACTTGGCCTACGTTTTAAATTTGTGATACATAGCGACGGAATCCATAATCCGTAGCTACAATTTAAAAAAATAAAATAAAATTGGTCTCACCTAAGTAGTGACGGACGGATATCCGTCGCTAACGTATAAGTATAATCCCGCCTCCAAATTTAGCAACGGATGTAAAATCCGTCGCTACTTAATATATGTTAAAAATCAAATATGCAAGCTTAGCGACGGAATTTCAATTCCGTCGTTAAAATGATTTAAAAAATTCTTACCACTTCATAAATGTAGCGACGGATGATAAATCCGTCGCTATATAGCATATGTTAAAAATCCGATATGTAAGCTTAGCGACGGAATTGAATTCCGTCGTTAAAATGTTTTAAAAAATTCTTCCCGCTACATAAATATAGCGACGGATGTTCAAATCCGTCGCTAGATAGCGACGGATTCAACTATCCGTCGCTACAATGTAAACAAAACACATTTATACTTTAATATCTAGCGACGGATGCTTATATCCGTCGCTAGGTTGTAGCAATTAAAATAATGAAATCAGCTCGCAAAAGAACCGTCGCAAATCCGTCGCTAATTTGTTTCTAATTTTCGCACCAAAGTTTACCGCGAAAATTAGCTACGTATTTAACGACGGAAATATTCCGTTGCAAACTCCGTCGTTAAGCCGTCGCTAATCCATCGCTAAATTTTCATTTAACAAAAAAATTGAAATCTGTCACTAATTTGTCGCTATTCCGTCTCTAAATTAGCAACGGAACACGTCCGTCGCTAAAGCCATCGCTATTTTCGCGTTTTTTTGTAGTGTCCCCTCCTGCCAGGACTGCTCTACCACACTCCTGCACCCCTAATCATGCAACCAGGTCTTCTCGAACCGAAAACCCCTCCTGCGATACCCAACACCCCCACTGGAGTCCTGAATCCCCAGAAAGAGAGCCGAGTGATCAGACTTCCGAGTTCTCAGGTTCATCACCTTAGCCCCCATCACCATACCCCGCCACTCGTCCGTTACTAGAACTTTATCGAGCCTCTCCTCCATCCAGTTTGCTGTCCCCTTCCCCTTCTCCCATGTGTACGGATAACCAACCATAGGCAATTGAGCAAGCCCACAGTCCTCAATAGCTTCCCCAAAGCCGCGTAGGAGGCTATTCGGATGCGGATTTCACCCTCTCTTCTCATTCTGATATAACAAATCATTAAAATCTCCAATAACAACCCAGGGGAGGTTCGACCTACCCGAGAGCGTTCTCAATAGATCCCATGACTCAGCACGTCTTGTTCGCTCAGAAAATCCATAATAACCCGTCATTCGCCATTCAGGAAAGCCAGTAATAGTTACCCCAACATCAACATAGTTCGTTGAGTAACTGATTAGCCGAGCCGTACTATTCTTCCTCCACAGTAACGCTATACCACCACTTAACCCATCACTGTCAACATAAAAAAGTCCTTCGTAACCGATTTTAACACGTAATCGCTTTGCATGATCACGTGCCACCTTAGTCTCCATTAGAAATACAAAGTCGGGTTGCTTCCGGGACACCATGTCCACAATCTCCCCGAACTGTCCGTAGATTACCCAAGCCACAGCAGTTCTAACTTAAAGTACTCATTGATTCGGGCGGGTCTGGGAACCAGAGCCCGCCTGCTGCAAGTTTTTTGGAATCTCAACCATGACAATGTCACCTCCCTCGCACCTACGTCCCTCCCCATCCACCTCCCCCCGGCGCCGCTTGGCTACCGCCACCACCTCCGCCTCAACTACCCCCTCGGTCCGGTTCCCACCTTGCGAACTCCCCCCCACAACTGCTCGGTCAGCTGGCGATTTCCTCCCCACGGCATGCCGACCCGTCGGCAACAGCCAGCTGCCCCCCACCGGCCTAGAGCCACGGCTCCCTCCTGCCCGTAGCTCCGGGCCATACAAGTACTCCTCCACCGGCATCTTCGAGTCCCTTGCCCCACGACAAAACTGATACGAGTGGCCTAACATCCCGCAGAAATAGCAATATGTATGAAGGCGTTCATACTTAAACATGACCCAGCAACTCGTCTTATCTCGTTTAATGAAATTCATTCGTCTTTTTAAGGGTTTATCAACAGGCAACGAAACCCTAATACGGTGATACGTCTTCCATGGGGCGTTTTCGAAACGATCATCATATTTCACAAACGTACCCAAGAAATTTCCAATCTGTTCCAAAATCCTACTAGATGAGTATCCGTTCAGCAGTCCATGTAGCTGAACCCATAAATCCACCGTATCCAGCACTACATCAACCGACATAACTCCGTCAGGGACCTGCTTACACACCAGCGTACTATTATCAAAAGACCAGGGCCCCTCGTTCAGAACTCGTTCCATGTCCGTGACATGATGAAAAACAAACAGGAACCGACCAGGTTCAACCTCCGTTGCCTCAACCCCGCTCACCGGCTGCCACACCGATGCCAGGACCTGACTCATAAATTCCAACCTGACTAGCTTCCGTGTCAAGAACCTTCCCACCACCCCCCAACTCTCCTCCACCTCGTCGCCCCCCTCCTCGGTCCCGTCCCCTTCAACCGGCAGAAACGCCGTGGCTTCCTCTTGGAGCACAATATCAGCCCACCTGGCCGTCAAACCAGCCACATCCGGATCAGTCGGCGTCGTAGACATCTCGCATGCAGAGACGAAACGTCGTTAGATGTCGTTGTCGGAATCAGAATTCGTCCGTAAAGAATTGTTGAAGAAACGACCGGAATACCTAGAAACCCTAGGTAGAGAGAAAATTTGGAATTGAAGAGAGAAATTGTAGTTTGGTAAGTATCTTTCTAGTTAATTATAAAGTAATCTAAAATAATAATATATGTTTTCAAAAAAATAATAATAATATAAAAAACAGTGTCAGGCGCGTGCAACGCACGCGCTCGTATGGGCCGCTGCTGTGCGCGAAAAGCGCATAACACCTTTCCCTCTTCATTTTGCTTTTTTCATTATTTTTGGCCTTTGCAAACCCATCCTTTCCCAATTAATTCTTCTCAAACATTTGCTATAATCTTGATCATGGGTGATTTAATCTGACATTCTCCCCATAATATTCATTGATAATGTTGCTCTAAGTAGCAAGCATTAGAAGCCACTAATAGCCTCACTACATAGTAGTTGGCGCTTTATCGTCCATTTGCTAGCATTAATAGTACATTTGTGGGCCCAAATTATTTGTAAAGATAAAGATAACAATAATAACAATAATAACAATAATAATAATAATAATAATAATAATAATTAAAAATGAATTGAAATTGAAGAGATGTAGAAAAAATTGTGGATAAATTACAAATATAATGTGAACGAGAATTAATATGAATATGATATGAATTTAAAAGTACCTCATATACTTAAAAAGTAAATATCTAAAATGGTCCCTCGACTATAGCTAAATTCATAAATTGGTTATCGACTTTCAATTTCAACCAATTAAGTCCTTAACTTTGCAATTTTAATACGATTTGGTCATCCGTCTATTTGACAGTTTGTTGACTGTGATTTTTGAGGATATATAAGTAATTTCACGGTCCATCGTCATTTTTTCAGGTTCCGGTTGCATTTTCAGACCGCAATGTTACATTTGAATCCACTGTCGAAAGCAATCTACCAAATTTGGTCGCCTTTGGTAATAGTTGGACGTAATCATCTCCGTGCTAACCACCAGGGCGTTAGAGTTTGGGTGCACGTACAGGAGGTCACGTGCAAGATCGATCGAGATTAGGCCGGAGATGCACCCCATGCCGGAAAGATTATAGCTTTTGATAGATAGATTGACGAAGTCCCTGGAGCGGCTCTTCAAGAAAGCCGTGACTCCAAGCCACGTAGGCAAGCTGAACCCGGTCAAAATTCTTTTGAGCTTTGCACGTGAAATTACATATATATCCTCAAAGATCACGGTCAACAAACAGTCAAATAGACGGAGGATCAAATTGTGTTAAAATTGCAAAGTTAAGGACTTAATTGGTTGAAATTAAAAGTTGAGAACCAATTTGTGAATTTAGCTATAGTCGAGGGACCATTTCAAGTATTTACTCTATACTTAAAGTATACTCAAGACATCTCATGATTTTAAAAAAATTCCATAAAGATATGCAGTATGCCTTATTTTTTTAAATGAGAAAGTATCGTTGGATAACCAAAGCCTTAGCACCAATTTCCCTTCCCACATATGCATTTCAGGAAGCTTGATTTAATGATTTATATATGGACTGTATTGATGTATTGAATATTAATTTATGGTATTCAATCTTAATCGGGTGTGAACAACTTTCTTTCCTCCATAACAGTCAACGAAGCAAGCTCTTTTAATAAGTGTAAATTTTAATTTCTCATTATCTTTTACACGTTTCACACATCATCGCCGACATCAGCGTTACCAGCCTACCCCCGATATGCACTGCAGCAAATGTATATTGATTTGCTGTAAAAGATTTTGTATATAATTTGATGCTTAAAAAGTATTTATAAAATTTAATTTAATTTAAAGGAGAAAATATACAAGTTGACTACAACTATATATTCACGAGTATTAAGCTATACAACGCGCTGTTCCTGCCTTGAACCATGGCTAGGCTTTCCGTTGCAGTTCTCTTTTTGCTTTTCACCATCTCTGTTGCTCGTTCTCCGTTAAGCAAGCCGGAAAATGACGTCACAGTTAACCAACTGTCAGACTCCGTTACCAAATCGGATGCCGGTGATGCTATTCGCCTCCCTAGCGAGTCAGTTACCAAATCGGACGCCGGTGACGCTATTCGCCTCCCTAGCGAGTCAAATCACGAGGAAACCGATGCTATTGAGACAGAGACGAAAGCCGTGGTCGCCGCCGAGGTCATGCCGCTACATCTAGTCAGATTCCGTCCGGTCAACCGTCGCTTCCGCCTC